GGCAGCAGTTTGTGACTAATGAGTTTGATTGATCAAATTTACCTTTATTATGTGGCGGTTATTCACATTAGATTCTATTATGTCAATATCATGGTTCTATGTTACCAGATATATTATTCTATTGGTATTCAGTACCGTTTATGTCATAGTGAAACCAGATCTGGTGCTATAGGATTCATAGTATCTTATTTTTTACTGATTAGTTACAAGGGTATAGAGTCTGCCTAAGACTTCAGATGTTTATTGAATGACTAAGCAATAGAATTGGCATCAAGGGTAGTTTTATCCTTCCTTATAAATTTGTCTTGATCCTCATGATCAATATAGGCTGATGTAATTAAAACCAAATTAGAACACAATAATCATATGGTCTAGGGACCTTCTATTTTTACACAGCATATAAGAATTACTTAAATTTATAAGTGCTTTAAATACATTTTTCTTAACAGGTTTTTTTTTTTGAGTGGCTTCAGGGCACAATATTCTTGACTAAATGGCAATATAGACTTCCAGACCAGACACAATAATTTATATGATCAGACTTCTGACACAGAAACAGTCTTAAATAATATTCAGCAGGAATTATTTAAAGAAAAAATTGGAATTGTAGTAAATAACATATTTTCTTTCAGGACAGTAGCAATGATGTAGATTTCTGACATGCGCATGTGAAATTTGATATAGTTTCATGTGGAATTAAAATAATAGGGTTCTAAAATGGCAAGTCTACATATTTGCATTTCTCAAGAGAATTACAAATCAAATAAACAATATGTTTGATTAGTACAATAGCCACAGGCACAGAATACAATTGAGTTGTCAGTTATTCTTCGTATACTATATAGCTATTGGATTCACAGGACGTTCCGATGCAATGTCTCAATTATCCAGCACCTTTAATCAGACACAAATGTGTTACATGAAAAAGACTACAATTTTATGCAGCATTAAGCAGGTTTCATTACATTTTATAAGGTGAATGTACAGGATATAGATTGGACTTATTGATTATAAATTGTGACCTTGTGTAAGTTTGACCCGGAAATGGATAATGACAAAATGATTTCATTTTTTTCTTGCGATTACGATTTACAAATTTTCAAACAAAGGATATTAAAATTTGAAATGCCCAAATTGATGTGATTTGCTTCAATAGAGGTATATTGAATCCAGTGGAGTACCAAGGATTTCCAAAAGGGTAGACCAAAATATTTCAAGAAAAATACTTAAATATAGATTAAAGATGTCTATGGAAGGAATGGAGCCTCAGTGAAAGATGTCAGTATGTAGATTATAATTATAGCCGTACATTGCCGATCCAAAGGGATGTGGGGAGTTCTGCCAGTGCAAGTGGCCTCCTCCCTATATAAACCACTGAAATAACCTAGAACAGAGATGTACACAAGGGAATAGATAACATCTATAGTTGTCTCTGGCTTCTATAAAGTCTATAGACATGTTGAGTTTGTCTTTCTGGTTCTGTAATGTCAACTTTATAATTATAAGGTAACAGAAACAATTCTTGGAGTCTGATCTCTAGTGGCGAGTAGACTTGTTTATAATGTCTAGCACCATTTGAAATCAGTGCTTCTGGAATTTATGTCAACTATTTTTAAACTTTTCATTTTTGGATCAATCAAATAAACTTTAATGAATGTTCAATTTCCAGAAGGAAGGGTGCAGCTGTGTGATGGCATTGGGGGTTATTCCAGAACATGAGTGAAGGGGTTTGCAGGTTACACAAAAATTTAATATGATATGGAAACATATTTACTTTTGAAGAGTGAGGAAGGAAGAACTAATTAGAAATTTTCTTGGCATTCCTTTCATGATCTCAGACACCTCTTTTATTGATCTGTCTTTAAGGAATCAATGTACCATACATATTAATGCTAGTGGGACGAGATGCAAGTCTGGTGATTTAAATATTTGTGGATTAAGATGTAATACCGATTAGCAGTTTTGCCCATGGCAGATATAAGAAAGAGAAAAAATGCAGGAAGTTTAATGACTTAATTTTTGCCACATTTTCTGCATAGAAAATCAAGGGAAAATGATTTATTCACACAGACATGCGATTGGGTTTTCTGGTCCATCCGGGTTATTGAAGACAGGTCATACAGACATAAGAAAGGCAATAGTTGGACATGTTAGGGCATGTGTATACAGTATTTGTCGGTGGATAAGGCACATTTTTTTTTGCCAAATATTTGGTATGTCATGGCTTTAACCTTGGATTAACCATTAAGAAAAAGAAGCATGTGCTTAGTCCTCAAAGAGAAGTAGGGCTCTGCAGAGTTTATATACCGGTGCCAGATTAACCATTGTGCAAAAAGTGGAGATGAAACAACCCCCCCCCCCCCCCCCCCCGATAAATAATGGTAAAATACATCAATTTTTTTACCCTTTCATTAATTTGCTGTTGAATGATAAACTTGGATTTTGCCAATTTTTTTTTGATTTTGAAAGTCAAAATTTATTTTACAGTTCAGTATGGTTTTAGAACGGTTAATGTTTTTCAATGCCTAGGGCCTCTAAATGTAGTCATCCAGTCCTACCCTTTTTGAGTACCTTGTATGTCTGCTGCTCCCCTATTATTATAAAGCTACAGGATTAAAACACTTTCAGTATTTTAAACTGTTGACCATACTTTGAATTTAGCTCATTTGTAAGATGTTTAACAAATGAGAGAATATTTATGTCATTAAGGACAAGATAAAATTGCTAAGGATTTCCTTATCTCATCGAACTATCTGATGCATATAAATATTTTCTTGGTATAGCTAATATACCGGTCTTCCAAAGCTATTTGCAGAGAAAGCGTAGTAACTAATCTATCATTACAATTTAGCTTCAAGAGGATTACATGCATATAAATTGCTTTCTTAGTTTAGTAGGAGAATATTCATAGACTCCATCACCAAATGTCCATCTGAAATCCGGTATCAAGCTCTCAATGAATTTTCAATGGTTTTTTATGTGACGCTGGTCTTTGTAAGTTATATTTGTTAAGCAATGTTTATTTTCATTTCAGACATAAGGCAATTTGATGCATTGTTTTCACTGTCTTTTTTCTTTATGTTTTTTGATGTTTTTGTTTAACAACAATGGAAGATAAGTATTTAAAGGAATTTAATTTAATGCATTGTTTTTGCTGTCTTTTTACTTGTTTTTTTTTTTATTTTTTTTATTTAAATCTTGTAAACTTGATTACAGAGGGTAATGGAGGATGAGAATACAGGTTTGTGCGTTTGATAATGATAACAGAATGTGGTATTCATCTTAGTTTGTAATGGAGATTGTGTTTGATCGACCATTAAGGGACCTGATTTTGCTTGGTGAATAGACTAAAGGTTCACTCTAGCACCATTTGAAATCAGTTTCTCGATATGGAACTTGTCAACAATTGCAATCCTGTTCTAAATTTATCTCTGTTTAACTACTTTAAGTTGTTTTCCTTTTTTTAAGTTGAACACTTATATAGGACTAGATAATGCACAGCTTCATGTAGTGTTTGTCCAGAAGCAGACATAATTTTTAGTTTTAAGCCTTATCAACAGTCAACATAATATGTTAGGATTGTATCTTCTATTTCTTGTCATTGTGTATTGTCATCAGCTCTTTCTGTCGGTCCATTTACACTTCACCAATTTTTCTAAAATTTTCAGGATGAGTTATTATTGGGCTATAGATTGTCTTAAATTTTTAGGATGAGTTATTATTAGGCAAAAGATATTGTCCTTGAATTTTTTAGGCTGAGTTATTATTGGGATAAAGATTGTCCTTGCGTTTCCTTGAGTTATTATGGAGTAAAAATAGCCCCTGTTGATTTTGAGCATTCTTGCGAAAGTTATCCAAGTGTGATGGTCACTGAATGATACAATAGTTGATAAATATACTCGTACTCACTCTATTTATTCACCGATTTTCAAAATAGTTAATATCTTGTTAAAGGTGGTCTCTATCCATTACTGATTTACATCACAAAATATAGGAGGAAAAAATCATGATGGTGGGTGGTATGTTTTTATTTTACAGTAAAGTCATTAAAAACGACAAAAAAGCCCCATCTTAATGTCACATTTCAACAGGACGGATTTAGCCTTTTCAAACACTTGGGCTGTAATATGTCACTATGCTACAGTCTTTGAAATAACACTTCTGCATTTATAATGTGAAGTTGATAACAAATTTTTTTTTTTGTATATGAAGATATTGCAATGGAAGTCTAAATCATAACACTAATGCATTAAGGTTTCAGTGTATGCTAATAAATTTTGTAATAATTCAATATTTGTCAGAAAACATTGGCCATAATGCTTAATTGATTTTTATATAAAACCATATCTAAAGATGCCTATATCGATTTGGAAGCCTGCCTTGTAGTGAGTGGGTCACTGACCGAAAAGTAATACATAACCCATTGTTTGTCATAAGGGCAGCTGAAGACTGTAATTTTTAGTCTTATTTACTGTGGTTAGGAGTTAGGACACTGGACTCACAACCAGAATGTCCCATGTTTAAAGTCACCACTTTGACCTCGAAGAATCTTTAGGATTTCCAAGCCAGGTTTGCACTCCTCCTGCTCATGGCTGGGAAATCAAGATCTGTACACAAAGTTTAGTGTACGTAAAAGATGTCTTGGCAGTTGGGATATAGAAAAAAGAGTAGGTGGAAGCGCTTCATTCTGGGCAAAATTCTCCTTCTCGCATTGTTCACATAACCATAGAAATAAAAATAATCATATGTCAGTCTCAAAATGACTGAAGTTTTGTGTTTTAACAAGATGTAAAAACTATTGAAACGGGCCTATTCCATTCCACATTGATGGATACAATCAGAAAGAGTGTAGAGCTTCTTTAATTGCCCTTTTGACTTGCTATTACTTAACCATACAAATGGATGATCAGAGAAACAAATATGTGGTTACTTTATCTGAGATAAGAAATTTTGATAATTATTTACAAAATTATTTGAACATCCAAATATAACTATTGCAGGAAACTGAACAGAAACATTCCAAAAAGTTGATTAATATGGAAGTGATTAAGAGTTCAATTCAGGCTAATCTACAAGTTCATCGACGTTTAACAGAAGTACGAGAAGAAGATGAAATCAGCAGTTTGTTATCAAATCACTCACAGTCAAATAGTCCGACATCTGATATTAAAAATACACAAAGTACTTCACAGAAAAAAGGTGGTAAGTGGGCATAAATATAAACAGATATCATCAGAATCTGACCAAGGCTTTAAATCATGGATGGCCAAACTCAAATGCATGCGCCAAATGTGATAATAATAATTTAGCCATTTTATTATTTTGTGCAAATCCATTTTAATCGATGTTATCGTTCCGTAACTGTTAATATGCGTTTACAAGAAGTAGATGGGGGTAAAAGAGTTGTATGGCGCATCTGAATTCGTGTTTTAACAAATTGACGCATGGTGTGTAAAATGTTGGTCACCCCTGGTTTAGATCCATTCAGCAGAAAATGCAATAGGCATGTTACCATGAGACAGTTTAGACATTCCTCCATGAATAAATTATCGAATGACATTTGAGGGCTATTATGATTTTGTTACTGAGTATCAGATCACTTCAATTGATACAATATTGAAATATACAATGATATAGTATCCTTATCTTCGTTCAAGTTTTCCTGCTTTACAAAATATAATTAACCTTAAAGATGCATTATGTAAGATTTCAGTCAAATTACTTCATTCTGAACAAAGTTGTGACTATTTGTAGAGTAGCGTAGTCTTGAATTTCATTACTACCGTAATTACGATAATAAACAAAGCCTTGATTATCCAGTTTTAAATTATATCATTAAATGGCAATCTTGTTTCAATCCATTCAAAATCACAACCATCCGATGTTTTAGAGAGTTAATTATGTCTAACTAGTAATTTATCTAATATTTGAGGCCAAAGGAAAGATCTGCAATAGGCAGATTTAGCTCTTACATAATTCACCTTTAAAGGAGGCAAGTCTTTAACTCGATACCATCCAGTCTTCGAAAGTGCAAACACGACTTATTGGTCAATTTAAATAAACATTGATGTTGTTATCTTACTGTGAAAATTTGGGCTTCTGATATCCAATATTTAAGACAAAATGAAAATTTTAAAATTGGCACACAAATCGAGTGCCAGAATTCTTTCGAACACCATCTGTATGAAGCAACGTGATGAACGAGGCTAAACATATCCCATGTAGGAGAAATTACAGTAAAAATAGAAATGATTGAATGTAAATCAGTTATATACATTCATATTACATTATTATATGCGTTGTGACCCATTTGTGTTCATTTCTATGTGCCAAAGAATTGCAATTTTTACCCCTTCAAGATAGAGAGAGAAAGAAATGGGGTTTAACACAAACTAGGTCATTTTGTGACTTACATTACATATGGTTAAATTTTTATATATGCTCACATTTTCATGTGATATATTGTCAGCGCCCCTGTCCGTCCGGACGTCTCCGATTTTGACGAAACTTGAAATATAGGTTTATATCCCAAAGATCTTAGTTCCTTTTGATATCGGCATGTATCGGACCGTAACTTGTGCACACTCTAGAAGTCACAATTTTTATTCATTTTTGATAAAACTTAAATGTAAATTTATTACATAAAGATCTGTTCCTTTCCATATTCGCGCATATTGGAGCATAACTTCTTGGATAATGGCTCCTGATTGTACATTTAAAAAAATGTTTGCAAATATCACCGTTACACCATGATGATGGTTGAGTTTGAATTTCGTGAAAACTGCTGGACAAAATGGCCGTCCCTCGTACACAAATAGTGTAAAAATATGGTATCTCAAGGTTGTGGACCCTCTAGAGGCCACAATTTTGATCTGATTTTGATGACACTTGAATTACATGTTTATAACCCAAAGATCTTTTGATATTTGCGCATATCGGATAGTAAATTCCTGAATTATGGGCCTTGATTTTACGAAAAATCGTGTTTTTAGCTTGTGGTCCCTCTAGAGGTCACAGTTTTTATCTGATTAAAAAAAACGTTTGAATATATCGCGTTGCACCTTAATGATGGTTCAGTTTGAATTTCTTGAAAATCGGACCAAAACTGCCGGACAAAATGGCTGCTTTTCGTCCGCAAATAGTGCAAATATATGGTATATCAAGGTTGTGGACCCTCTAGAGGCCACAATTTTGATCCGATTTTGATGAAACGTTAAATTTATGTTTATATCACAAAGACCTTGGATCTTTTCGATAATCGCACATATCCGAATGTAACGTCCTGAAGTTATGGTCCCTGATTATTTGAAAAATTGCATTTTAAGCTTGTGGACCCACTAGAAGTCACAATTTCAATTCAATTTTCTAAAACCTCTAAATATATTACTGTTACACATCAATAAAGGTTGAGTTCGAATTTCATAAAAAATCTGACCCAAACTGCTGGACAAAATGGCTGTATGCAAATAGTGTAAAAGTATACTAATACTCCAAGGCTGTGAACACAATTTGTATCCTGTTTTCTTCAAAATTGAAATGTATGATTATAATGCAAAGATCATGGTTCCTAATGATATTTTGCGCATATCGCACCGTATCTTCCTGGATTATGACCCCCTGATTATATGCAAAAATCACATTTTTAGTTTGTGGACCCTCTAGAGGTCACAATTTTGATCTGATTTTAGAAAACATTTAAATGTATCACCATTAAACCCGAATGATGGTTGACTTCGAATTTCATGCAAATCGGACCGAAACTGCCTGACACAATGACCCCTCCTTGTATGCAAATAGTGTAAAAGTATGTAATATCAAGGTTGGTTTTGATGAAACTTAAACTATATCTTTATATCCCAAATATCTCAGTCCCTTTCGATATTTCAGACCATAACTTCCTGGATTATGACCCCTCTGATTGTATGGAAAATCGCTTTTTTTTTTTTTTTAGCTTGTTCTCTATCCATCTCTTGCAAAATTTGGGTGTATCTTGCCTGGCAACCGCTGGTATTTCAATAATTCGCTTGTGCATAGGGATCTTTAGCAGTGGGAGGAAACAGGACTAGCCGGAGAAAAAGCACGAGGTTGGACAGGCGACTCTACTCCTTCTGTTCTGTTGTCACGTACAACCGGGGAATCGAAACCACGCCAGTTGACTCAATGACTGACTTTATTTACTTTATGATACAACGTGCACATGCTAACCATTCGGCCATACCCCCCCCCCCCCCCCAGCTCTTTTAAGATAAAGACTAATAGTAATACTAGTAATAGCTTTTGAAATATATTCAGTACATGTAATGTGTAGAAGAATGAAATTCAGTTCCCTAGGAGCTCAATGTGATTTTTTAACTGCCAATTATAGTAACAATTCCTCGTTAATTATAATGTTACCAGGATCATAAATTCGATACTATTTGCTTTTCAGTGCAGTTTTGTTAATTTTTGGTCATCACTTGAGTAACTGAAGGTTTTCATATGGCTTTAAGTCTGATTTTAGGAAAGCCAAATTTTGGTTGTTTTTATAAGAGGGTTAAAAGTTTTCAACCCCACAAATTGTTTAAGTTGTTTTTCTCTCCATATTTTATGCACTAACATTTAATGTGGATATATATTGTCATCAACGCATTCAGTAAGATGGTTATCCATCTTCTAGCCACAAATTTTGTGCAGACTCATCTAAATAACTACCACGACATTTACTATTATTAATTGATATTAGCTATGCAGGATATTCTTTAAAGATACATTATGGGAGATTAGGTAACGAGTTGGCAGTTCTCACTATAATAGTTAAAAACTAGATAATGTAAAGGCAATTTGGTGAAAATTTTATTCAAATTGATCCACGATGAACCCAGAACTAAGCGACTGAAATTCCCATAAGCCTCTGTCATCATTACTGAAGTCAGTACTATAAACAGCATAGTCTTGATTATCCATTTAATCATTTAATCAAGAAGGAAAGTTATGCAGTAAATCGGCTTACAATCCACTAAAGATCGCAGCCTGGCGCTGCCATCTTGAGTTGATTATGGTCTGGATTGGTTAATTAATGTCTAATTAATAATTTAGATAACATTTCGACCTAAAGAAAGACCTGCAATAGACAGATTTAGCTCTTGCATAATGTATGTTTAATTTCATGAATTTTTCAGGTACAAAGAAAGATAGTGGACGTTTATGGGAAATCCGTGGTTATGAGTCTTTGAAAAGATTACAAAACAGTCACAGAACAGATACGCAAACTGTCAAAACTACAGAAAAGGTAATAAGTATATCCTGGTTTAAATTAGATTACAAACATTACAGAACCAAGAAATAATAAATGGGTCTACATGGAGAAAGAAAAGACTCATTTTGCTTTTACATGATCTAGCAAAGATGCCTAAGTCGTGACAATCTTTTCACAGGATTTAAATTGCTAAATTGATCTGTGTAGACACAGCCACAAATTTATCTCTCTTGTCTCAAGTTTGGACATGCGCCAAGACTATATTTTTTTTAAGCTACTGTTGAAAGATTTGAGATCTCCATCTTCTTTCATATTTGTGTTATGTCCATGTGTTTTTTATGTTCCATGTGTGAAAGCAAATGTAGACCTCAGTATTGAAAAGAAAATCCTATGTTTGTGTAGTATCTCTTGTCACTGAAACCTTATCGGCGTTCTAGGTTTCAGAGATTTTGAAACATGCTGGAACTGTTTAACTTGTCATAAGGAGGAACTTTATGGAAAACCATAGTCATAGTTATTGCCCTTGACATCAAAACCGTGTAGCTGCTCTAAGATCAGATTTTTTCAAACTTGCTGGGATTGTTGGACTCATCACATGGATGAACTAGGGCTTTCGACTTTAAACTTTATCCAGACCAGTCACATTTTGACATATTTTGTTTGTATTATTCCAATGCTAAATGTTTTTACACCTAAAAACTATGAATTTAAAATGTTTTGAAATTGTAATATTATCGCATGTAAATCCTCCATTGGGTCATTTTAACTGCCCATCAGTGAAGACTTGTATATGACTGAAATGGGAGGGCTAGGATGAACCTTTTTGAAATTAAGAGTTGTGTGTCTGTTATATGCAAGGTTATTGCCCTTGAAATTGAAACATAATCGCATTTTAGATTTTTTTTGATCAGACATGGATTGTTTGACTAGTAGGATGAATACTTTAGGAATTGATAGTCCTTTCGAAATTAAGTGTTGTCTGTACATTCTTTTTGGAGTTACTTCCTTTATCATCAATTCAAAACCTTTAAAAACCAGAGTTTTTACACATCAATGCATTAATGACTAAAGTGGTCTTGTCCATCGCTCCCCACTCACTTTACACAGTTCAGTTTTTTTACTCCAATATTCAGGAATAGTTAGTATTGGGGTAAAAATGATTGATTTGGGGCCTAGTTTCAGAATTATTGCCCTCGATTGCAGAGTTATTATACTCACTCACTTTTAGTATTGTGGTAAAGGTGGTTTAACGAAGCTTTGTAAAGGATATTTATTATATTTAAGTAATATTCACATCAATTAAATTATTTGAAATTTAATTTAATTTTCTTCTTACAGGTGCATTTTAACAAGGGAAGGAGAAGTGAAAAAGAAATTCAAAATATCCGACACAGAAAAGAACTGATGTTTCGATCAGCCGAACATAATAAATATGTTACAGAACTCATTTTAGCTCAAAATCCATTACCGAATCATTCATTGTTTCCTTTAAGTTGATATCAAAGACAAGGTCTAATGCTTAGATCCAACAAACATAATAAATATCATATCATACTGTCATCTTAGCTCATAATCAATAATCATTCATTGTTCTATATTTAAAATAAATTATTATTATTATTATAATCTGTACTTTTAATTTTGTTATAGAATTCAAAGTGAATTAGAAATTTATGAGATAGAAAAATGATTATTATTACAGGGTTTGAAGTTGGAGCAAACTCCCAATTAGGTTTAAAATACAGATACAAATGTAGTTTTGTTTTTGTATACCTTTCATATAGATCTGACTGCATTGTGAAGAAAGTCATGTTATTGTTAGGGGTTACAATTGAACTTTTTTGTTTTATTCTTTACTACTCTATAGATATCTCCAAATAAATAATTCCATCCATAAGTCGTGTATATAATCGCATCATATTTCAATCCTACTGTGAAACTTATGGAGGCAGACCACCATTAAATTTCACCATCTCGGTACCCACAAATTGTAGTTAGTCTATTTATAGCAATTCTCTCTCTGTCTCCTTCCTCCCCTTTTGCATGCCCATTTTTGTTGATTTTTTGGTCTAGAATGGACGAAGAGGGTTTGAATTAACATTTTCTGCCAGGTTTTGGTAAATATTCATGATTTTGAGGCGGAAGGATAACGGATTTGTCAGGTTGGCTACGGTGATATGTACGGCAACTAGTTACATGTTTTTAGTATGCTTCTTCAAGTTTGTGTATCTCAAAATTTTGGTGGTCAACCTCATACAAATTTTAGTGCAAAGACATGACCATTTGTTCCTCTGTCTGTAGTGAAAAGCATTCAGCCCAACGAAAATTTGGGGAAAAGTTGGAGGTGGGCAAAGAGGCCAGAATTAACATTGAAGTCAATGGGGAAATTAATGGTGGTCTGCCTCCTTATGAGTTAAATGGAGTTAGCTCCCCTTGGCTGATTCTGGTTCTACTTGTGCTTTCAAGATTCGCACAAGATGACCGGTTAATTATCTTGATGAAATGTAGAACAAATAGTTGTCTCCATCCACAATTCTTGTAAACTTGCTAGTTGGCTTGCCCATGCCCTAAGGAGTGAAATGAAATGGGGGTTTAATAAAGAACTACTGTTCACATCAACCAGCAATGCAGTATGCTATGAGGGAATGGCACTACGCCATTCTCTTATTTCCAGTTCTAACTGTCAAGTGTTCTTTTGTGTATGGGACTTGTTTTTGTTTTTTTGTTCCATCCAAATGACTATAGACTTACTTGCTAGGCCATCCATCCTGCACCACTGAAATGGCTAAGCCATGCTGGAAAATCTTGAGTCAGTACTTTTCAGCCATTATCGGTATTGAACCCTGGACCTCCTGGTTAGTGGGACGGCACCCTATACACTGAGCCACAATCGCTCCTGTCCTTAGGAGAAAACATTACTTCCGGCGTGGTTTCCCCTTGTCAGTGATGCAGGACGGAGGGCCTGACAAGGACAGCTGTCTAGTCATTCGGATGAGACGAAAAACTGAGGTCCCGAGTACACATTGGCGTGCACGTAAAAGATCCCTTGACAGTTGGAATTCGATATAAGAGTAGGCCGTAGTGCTGCTGTCCGGGCAAAATTTCCCTCATAGCACACTGTATGGCGTATGCCCGTCTTCATTAGCCCAGTTCGGAGCAAAACAGTAGGACGTTAAACCCCATTTCATTTCATTTCAGAAAACATTACTGGACTAAGACTAGTAATTATTTCCCCTTATTTCATGATGGACGAATGTAGTGCGAGTTATAAATAGACAATTTTTCCCTTAATTTTTTTCTCCCCTCTTCCTGCATTTTTGGGTTGACTTTTTGGTCTAGAATTGGAGAAAAGGGATCAAATTTGCAATTTCATGGCAGTTTTGGGTAATACTGATGATATTACAGCGGAGGGATAGGGGGTGTAAAGTGTCTTTCTGCAGAGCAATCATTGTGTCGGAAGTGAGATTTTCACCCCAGTCAACATCAAATCCCCGTAGCAAAAAATCTAAATGGTCAACCCCCTACAAATTTATAATGAGGATATTGCCAAATGTGGTCCCCATTGTACGTATAAAGATTGGAACCAACGGAATGTTGAGCAAAAAGCTACAGCCTGTGATGTTACAGCCATTTAATGAAGTCAGTGGGCAAATAATTGCTAGTCTGAGTCCAGTCAGTTGAACAATAAGAGTTACTGCCCCTGAAACATTACAAATGCTGTACAGGCTAGAACTTTTGAGACATTGAATGTGATCTATGGGTTAAAGGTTTCAGATGTTTCACACTTGCCCATTGATATCTGGGCATAGAACAAAAATAAGTTTAACTTCGTCTCAGAGTTTCTATTTTTCTACTTAGCCCCCCCGGATCAATTTACTTGATCCGATATACATGTTTCTGTGTATCTTTCTGAATTATTACAGTCCCAAACTTCAACATACAATGCAAGATTGTCATCACAAAACATTTTATCAATACCCAAGTCTAAATATTAAACATTTGCTGATAGATCTTTCAGTGTGTTAGGACTGCAACTCTGGAATACCCTTCCAGAAAGTGTAAAACAATGTCTGATTGGAACAGATTTTAAAAAGAAACTCAAAACATACTTTTTCCGTAAGCATTCCTTTAACATTGTGTAAGACTTTGTGAAGTGCCATTGAATGCATGGCAGTAATGTGTGCTATATCAAATGTAATGTTATGTAATATAAAGTGAAACAAGGGCCATAACTCTAGAAGTAATTAACAGAAATTGTTGAAATGAAATAAGTTCTTCATTTCACCAGTGTAAACAACATATGTAAATTTCAAAACGATTGGATGATAAATGTAGAATGTTCACAAGAAATTGTGGACGAAGGACCGACTGACAGAGACGATGTCAATATACGACCTTGTTTCTATGTGGGCGTATAATAATTGGAGTTGCCCATCAAACTCGATTACTAATTAAAATTGAACCATGTAGTAGTGAATACACAACCAGTTTCTGTAAATATCTATTAGCAAAATTTAATAAAACCAATAATAGAAGTACAAAATCAACACATCTGATCAACCTATACACACAATGCCAAATTATGTAACTTGTTTGCATGGACAAGGTTAACAAGACACAGTAACATATATAATGTTTGAAACAGACGTTCTCGTGACCATTGCAAGACTAACCATAACAATAAATGTTTGTATTCAGAAAGCCTTTTATTACATTACAAGGAAGATTAATTGTTAATACTGTAAATTTGTATTTACTCATGTCTGTGAACTTGAATTGTTTTTTTATACATCGAATGCTTTAAATCTGCTCGGTTTAGGATATATGCCATTGGTCTACATTTGCTAGACACTGATGACCTACAAACACTTCAACTTCAATGAAATACCCGTTGGTACTCCACAAAATCCTCTGTAGGACATAATGTGCTTTGTCTTTATTACTGTGATAGTCAATGCTGTTGGCTTGAAAAGCTGAGCTCTCATACAAATTAACATGCTCCCTGCAGTGTTTCGTTTGATTAGAGCTAATCCCACTAAACACTGCTTTAATGGAAGCAAATTTCTGTTCAAAATTATAACTGGTCAATAGTCCGATTAACAACCAATAGCTAACTGGGTAACAATTTGATTACGCTTTAAACGTAGCTCCACATTGGACCAAATATGTTTTCATAATGTTACGTCATGTGCATAGCAGAATATTGCAGAAAAACTAATTGAGTGACAAACGAGGCTATCAACATTAATACAATGTAAACAATAGCCTACTGTACGGAGACGAACAAGACTTTCACCGTTTTTAATACCTTAAATTACTGTCTAAAGTTTTAGGGAAGACCCCAGATTAAACGAAGGGCTGTCATGTTGCTGTACTTTTGATAGATTTGATGAACGGGAAGAATATACACACTCCCTGAAAATTATCAGAAACCAAACCAGCAATGGGCAGAGAGAGATTTCTCGGGCCATTGCTTCAGGAATATGACAAATTAGCAGTTCGAGACACATTTTAATTTTATAACTTACAAGTAAGCCAGAATGCAGTTTAAATTTAATCTATCAAACTTTAAAGTCATTGATCATCATCTGTATTGTTCGGACAAGATCCTATTTCCCCGGCTTAATCTAGCTATAATATACTGAAATTGATTATTTAACAATTTAAAAAAAAAATGGTAGATTATGTCTCGGCTCAGATTCAATCGGATTAAAAAGAGGCCCATCAAAAGATTTGGTAGTACTGTTTTAACCATATCATCTGCAGATGATGCCGAATATTGACAAATTTACAATTCATCATATCTTTGTAAATATTGAACGGAATTGAACCATCTTTAGACTGATATTCCTGTTAGTGATTCAACTTTTACAATATTTTTGTTTGTAAGGGATAAAAAATCTCTCAAATGACAATCAGAGACTTTAATAACAAGAATTGAGATAAATTTATTATAAAAGTTTTTATTGTTACAATAAAGATCATTCCTACATATACTATTGAGATAAATTTATTATAAAAGTTTTTATTGTTACAATAAAGATCATTCCTACATATACTATTGTTAACAATTTGTTCTTTAGATCTGAAATAAGTATACTATAAACTATACATGTTTACTATAAACAATAAATTAACAAAACATTAAATACACACAATAACATACATCTTCCATTGTATCAATCTTGAGCACTCAACAATTCTTGTCATTATTCTGAAAATAAAGAATTATTTGATGTTAATAATGCAATTATTAATAATAACACCATATACATCCTCAGTTGTGGGTACATAGACCATAAAACATCTAAAATGTCTTAAGACCTGTGAACTCCTTATGAAATTTTGCCAATCAGTCACATATTTTGTTTCTCTTGAATACAAACTTTTTGTCACGGAATATGACAATTTTTTAAGTGTTTTTATACATAAAAATTATAAATTTAAGTGCTACTAGTTCAAATTATTCTAGGAGTAATTGCCCCCAAAATATATCAAGCATTTCCAGTGAATACATGTGAGTCTAGTCTTATCTAGTTTATATGAAACTTGCTATGGCTTTACATACATCACTTGTATATTCAAACCCTTCTGTGAAGAGCTAACACTCCAAACCAATTCCCGTTTGACTGTTGCAGCATGGAAGAATTGGGAAAGTTTGTTACTATTTAGTTTACTTTATGTATGTATGTCTAATTACTATGATAAACATTGTCTTCAAGTAGTTTAAGGATATATCATTTGGAGACCCCAGTAGACGGAATAAAATGGTCTCCAAATAAGAATGAGAAGAATGAGATAATTTGAAGGATTATGAAGAAACTTAGTTCTACTCCCTTCATTCCATCACTCTGGAATTATGTAAATGGATGGAAGGAGAAAAAAAGGGTTTAATGGCTTCAATTGTTGTTAGTTGTTACAAGTTACGTAACATGTGTACCAGATCCATTGTAAATAGCAAGACCAAACCAAATTATTGTGTGGAAACACTATACCAGTATATAATATGCTACAAATAAAGTGCAAGAGTATACATCTAAACTATATGGTGAATAACAGAAAACATGCTGAGATGATCAGAACAGAGATTACAGAAAACTGAATAGATAAGTCTAGGTTATAATTACATAAAAGAAGTATACAGTTTGTGAGTGAGAAAAGTAAGATGACTGTAGAACAATCAACACCAATTCTAAGTGGGGGTACCTGATGGAATGTTCCAGAATTGAACTCTCTTAATCCCTCAAAATATGTCAATTGAGTAAACCAAGAACTTTCAGATGCCAAGACATGCAACAACTGAAGATGATACTATCTCTACCGACCAATCACCACAGCTGAAACATTTGATTAAGTTGTGATTCAACTCACTCCACATCCATTCTCAGGATTGACAGAACTTGTCCCACTCGATTACAATTCTGTCAATTCAAATTTGACAATTGAGTACCCCATTGTTTTCATAATTTCATAGAGAAATCTTTTTGTACTTAAAGTATGGCGAAAATCAAATAATTTATAATTGAGATAATAAACATGACCTGTAATAAACAGAATTAGAACCTATCACCAGTCTATGTAAAAACAAGACAACATGCAAGCTATATATATTAGTTGATTATATATAATAATTACAGGGTTGGGGATAAAACTCACCACAAATCATTCACATCCTGTAATAAACAATATTCATTCAACTACTGTGTTTTATCAATCAGTATATTTTATATCAACTTAAACAGACACACCCAAATATCAAATCTAATGTTGGTCATCATGTGTGCTCATTAGTTGTTCGTCCTAGTCACATTAAAATACCATCACTAAACTCAGTAAACTTCTGCTGATCAACATGAATAATAATGGGCAAACAGTACTTGTAGCCTGTATGGTTACACCAGCATGTCTTCATTTTTTGGAGTAAAAAAAACTTTGTACAATACCTAAATATTTTTTTAGATACTTATTACTGTTATATACCCTAGTACATTGTTACAATTCAAACAAAATTAAAGCTAATCACAAAGGCTGGTGTTATTTAAGTCAATTCTTTATCACCAGCTTCAGCAATGATATTTTTAGTGTGAAACACTATTGTTTTTGTTTGGATTATTATTCTTCTTATTATTATTTTTCCATTTAAGCATATCTCAGAAACTACTTGTCGGATCGATTCGATGTCTTTGGTTTTACTGGGAAAGTGGGTTTGACTTAAATTTTAAAGCTATTTCCAACGTTCTGCGAAAATGCGAAATGTCCGAAATCACCGAAGTTGTCGTTTTTCGATATTTTGCCGTAATGTTATCAATAATTGTCGGATTGTAATATTTGATACATTTTGACAGAGACAAGGCACATAGCTATGGTTCTTTGGATTTTTTATTTTCGACGAATCTTCGGAGATATTAGGCGCCAAATTTTGAACATTTAAATTTTTACGAAAAACTTTTTTATTAATGAATATTTTTATGTGGTATTTTACCAAGGGTTAAATGTCAACATTTTTGTCACCGTATTTTTCCTTGGCCCCCATTGGCTAATTCAGTTTTTCAGTCCTGGATTAATTATTTATTGTTCGATTTGTATAAAACAAAGTTCATATGTTCCGCGGTCCAAAATGTCATCTTTTGTGTTACTGGTACATTTTCCTTTCGGCAACGGAAGTAACATAAATTTAGCAAAAACTGCAATTTTGAGAGTTTGGTACCACTTTTTGAAAGCAAATATTATTTTTTTCAAATCTGGTATGACTGAAAGGGTTTGCCCTGTGAATGCGCAGAAATCATCGCGCTCAGTTTTTTAAATTTTTATTTCGTTTTCAGTTGCCGAGAAATGGGCAATTTTGTATGAGTCACTTTTTACGCTAGTTTGCCTGTATAAGAGTCAATTATTATTCGATTTTCATAAAAGTGACACCATTTGATGCGTAATGTCAATTTTAACAAGGTCAAACCAATTTAACATTTTCAATGTCACCGGAAATGACGTAATTTGGGCAAAAATTGTATTTATAACCTTCAAAACCAGTAATTTATTCAAATGAGTCTTATTTGTTATTTGTTTAAAATTTTGATATTTGATTCCAATCAACTAATAGAATGAACACAAACGATCATATAGATATCACAAAATGGTTTCTAACTTGTTCAGTTGCGGAGAAATAGACGGTTTTCAACAGGTAACTTTTCAAGGTTTTTGGTCCATAAAAGTGTCAATTATTATTCGATTTTCATAAAATTCCCCGTGTGTGATACCTAATGCCATTTACGATTTCATACAAGTAATTTAACACTTTTACTGTTACCGGAAGTAACGTCATTGTGGCAAAAACTGTATTTTTAGCCTTCAAAACAGATATTTTATTCAAATGAGTCTGATTTGTATTGTTTTTAAAATTATGATATTTGATTCCAATCAACAAATAGATTGAACCTACACGATCATACAAATACCAAAAAATGGTTTCTAATTTGTACGGTTGCAGAGAAATAGACGATTTTCTACAAGTCACTTTTCAAGGATTTTGGTCTATAAAAGTGGCAAATATTATTCGATTTACATAAAATTTTCACCATTTGGTTGATTCTGCGTACATTTTATGTGATGTGTGCAATGCTTAAATGGAAACCTGTTTAATGGTTTCATCGGTACCGGAAGTGACATATGTTCAAGGGTAACAGGGCACCGGTGAAACCCGTCATTACTGCATCGCAGTTCTAGTTCTAATAGGAATTACAGATGTTTTTTCTAACATTGTAAAATGTATTATCAATTATAAAATTTAAAATTCAATGACAAACAAGAACCACCCAGTTTTACACACATTCACGCATGATAAATTAGGTACAAACATAGTCATATGCATGACAGTGAATTTAGTTAGTATAATGAACTAATAGTATTATTCAGTAGTAATAACAATCACACTATATCATCCAGCACAATCAAATCATGCTATTACAATCAAATTTAAAACAAAATCCAGTTCGGACATTAAACCCCATTTCATTTCATTTTATTTTAGAAGAAAGAAAATCTAAAATGAAATTTTTCAGCATAGTAAAGATTATGACAAGATTTTCCATTTATAGAAATATATTTGTTCTGATAATTATTTTTTTTAGACCACATTTTATTCAGGATATGAATGAGATTGAAAAACAGACTTAGCCTATGCAGAACTCTCTCTTATGATAATTTGAAGATGTTTGTGATAAGTTTTGGAGTTCAGAAATTTGATTTGCTACCATCATCAATTTTGTAATTTTTCTGACACCTTCATAGTTGTTGGTATACCACTCTAGAGAATTAAGAAAGGGAATAATTACCAGCTTTTAGTTTTAGGTTTGATATCATCTATAACAGCTTGTACAACTTCTGCTGTTGTTGCATGTCCTCCAACATCTGGTGTTTGAATCTGTGACAAAACAAATTATCAGAAAGATGAAAGGGATGAATTGAGTTGTGGGATATCACTTTGAGATAAATGTATGGTTGGGAGGTGGAGCTATAGCCCACCTTTTGCTAAAATCTCTGTTAATAAGAAAATAAGAATAGAAAAACAAAGTCACCCCAAGGATGTTAAAGAAATGAAATAAAATAAAATAGTGTTTAACTTCCTACTTTTCTGCAGCGACTGGGCTAATGAAACGGGCATCCGAAATGTGCATACGCCATATAGTGAGCTATGAGTATAGGGGAAAATTTTGCCCAGACAGCGGCACTACAGCAAACTCTTATTTCAAATTCCAGCTATCGGGGGTTCTTTTATGTGCACGCCTATATGTACAGGGTACCTCATTTTTTCATATGAGTCACTGCAAATCCAAGGATGTTAATTAGAGTTAATCCTTGTATTAACCAAGGGGTTTTCCGAAGTTATTAAGGAAGAAAATGAATAAAATTGCTCTGAGAGAGAATATATGTAAAGAAATTATATTACCATCTTTTCGCTCAAAACACTCTGAACTGATTCTCGAATAACTGTGGCATGTCGATGATGACTGTAAAGATACAACAATCAGGTATATATTAAATATACAAAAATTAAATACAGGTATGTAAATAACTTAGATAATAACCTACCAGGATACTAAATATTATCTTGTATGGTTGTTTTATGTATAATAATGCATGCACTTTACATGCATTATAAAAGTTGTTTAATTTGTGTTGCTTTGCATTTTACAATAATTACCTTTTTTTTCTATAGCTTTTTGTGAACTGTGAGAAAGAATTATTTTTGGCATTCATTATTATTTAGTGATGTACGCATTTTTTCAATTTTCCTTTGTACCCAATCTACAAAATAGTTTCCAACTACCCACACCGATGTTACTAGCAATGTAACAACCTGAAACATTACTGCATTCTCAGGTACTGCAATTCAGGAATGCATTGAGTATTATAATATATAAAGTTAGAGGATTATTATTAAAAACAAAACTTGTATTATTTAACTAACCTTAAATAGTCCAACATATCACAACCGGCTAGTAACATTCCTACTGGGTTAGCTATATTCTTTCCAGTTAATGATCTACCAGAATTTCTTGTCCCCTATAACAAATTACATATAAATAAAGTTAAGCATGTTATACAGTATTATCTCAGGTATACCTCATATAACTAATATCTTAGTGTATTTCACAATTTCCATGGCCCAGCTTATATCTGGAGCTAGACCTTGTCGGGTGTTGTTCCACCTGTAGTTCCCACAAAAGTTACAGCCATGCAAAAAAAAAAGAATAAAATTGGTGGTGAGTCTTTGTCTACCTTGTTTTCAAATGTTGCCTTCATGGGCAATAAATTTGAATAAAACTAAATACAGTAGCGCCTATTCTAAACAGACAACCAAATTCAAACTCCATAACCACTTTACATTAAGAAATCGATAAAAATGGGTAAATACCGGTTGAGCTATCAATTGTCATTCAAATGTTTGGGGAAAGACATGGAACTATTGAGTTATTTTGAAAATGTAAGCTTATAATGTGTACTTACCGTTTCAAAGACAGCATAACCATTACCAATATTCATACCAGGAACTAGACCTGCTCCTCCAATTAATCCAACAGCTATATTACTTAATATATTACCATAGAGATTGGGCATGACTAGTACATCAAACTGATCTGGTCGAGATACCATCTATAATGCATTACCAACATATTTTAGTGAGAACATCTAGTGAATAAAAATCTCATCTGTTTGAATCTTAGTTGAGATAGAGATAGAGATTTATCATAATCACAAAAGAATTACATTTACAAGAAAGAAAGTGTCATGGGGAAACAGAATAGATGAAATCTTTGATAAACAGTGGAGTGGAATAATCTGCCAAGATGCTGCACTGCCAAACTTCTCACAAAAACAGACAAAAGTTTGAACCCTGTTTAAATTGATGTTGATGCCAACAGCAAGTCAAATGAATTTAAAGCTTGTGTAAACAAAATCAAAATAAACTGACCTGCATACTAGCATTATCGATGATCAGGTCATTGAATTCAATATCAGGATATCTTTTAGATACTTTTCTACAACACTCTAAAAACAACCCATCTCCAAGTTTCCTGAATAAAAGAAATATACAATTCAATACAAAGAATCAATTTGTCGCAAGTTTTCACCTCAAACACAAGTGACTCTTACTTACATTATATTAGCCTTGTGTATAGCTGTTACTTTCTTTCTTCCATGTTTAACAGCAAAATCAAAAGCATATTCTGCTATTCTAGTAGATCTTTCAGATGTTATGATCTTTAAACTCTCAACAACACCATCTACACTCTAAAATATAAATATAAAAGTATTTTAACATGTAACATCAATTATCCACCAACCTAAATCTGCCTATAAAATTACAGAAAGCCATTCAATTTTCACCACCTAAAAAACAATCCTATCAAGTTTTTATTCATTCCATTGAGAATAATGTGGCTTTAAAATTCAAAATTGATGCTGGTACTGTCAAAATTTGTTACAGAAAAAGGTAACAACAATACCAAAATCATGCTAATTGCTTTCACAATGTTTATGAGTATGGTTTAAGTAAGTACAAATGTAACAGGTTTTATAATTTAGGAAAAACCTTGAAATAAGATCATAATTATGATCAAAATTAAGTACAGCCCATGGGTCGAATGCAACTGTAAATCCAGTCTACAGAAGCTCTTTAAAGTTGCTTATCATCATTTGAAGGAGTTTTAGAAATATCAATTAAAAATGGTCAGATACTGTTGCCTATTTACAAAAATATAAACTTAAACTTTTGCATTATTCAGCATCTTCTTGTCGGTTAAGTTATATTGATGAGCTGAATCCAGGACAAGAGATTTTACTTAATTAAATGTCATATAATCAATTTGGGTATACTTTAGCTTGGAGTAAGCCGTGGAAAAAAAGATATTGTCCCAAAAATGAAGATGCCGATCAGTGGGTTTAAACTATTCAGCAATAAAAACCTACCTCATATTCAAGTTGTCTGTACTCCCCTTCTGTATTTTCTCGTATTAAAACTATATCAACATTTTTTTGTCGAGAGTGAATATTGGGTAGAGATTTGCAACAAACAACACTAGCATATAAGTTTAACCCAGTTCTGAATAATAAATATAAGTTATTACATTAAAAACTTTTAATAGTAATACACTAACATATAGGTACTTTAATTAATTTTCCCATCTCAAGTGATTAAATGTACAAAAATAGGCAGCCAGGCAATGAAGCATACATAATTCGTGTGTGGTACGAAAGTATGTAGTGTCTATCTACATGTTTATTCTTAATCATGATTATCAAGCGCTTGTGATAATACCCTGCATATTTTGTCACTAATTTCGATTGGCTACTGACCCCGCTGGGGACCTCTCAGATTCTTTGATAGAAACTATTGATAATCGAGTTGCAAAATTCAAGGTTTGTTTGTGAAGGTCGCCATGTTTGATACAATATCTATAAATTCAAAGTTAATCGGATGAGAACTTCAGCACAAGATTTTTTTCCAACTGATTTTGGCAACTCTTATCAGAAAATTTTTAAAAGCAATAGGCTTCTTTGTCTCAAGGGCATAAACACTGCATATAAATATAACTTTAATTAGCCTCCAGAATTTCCACAAATCACAGTAGAAGGTGGACAACCAACAAGCTGAATAACATACAGTGGAACTTGTATTAAGCAAGCACCCAAGGGAAATTTAAAAATGCTTGCTTAATGGAGGTGCTCTTTAACTAGAGGTATTCAATATTGCCCCAACCCCTACTACAAAAAATAAAGATATAGATTGCATATATTTTTATTCATGTAGTATAACAATAACAATACATGTACTTTTTATCTAGTTGTGAATTCAAAGTAGTCGCGTATACATGTTTGTTTAGTAATACTGGATCTCTGGCCCCTCAATATTTCTTTTACTTTCATCATACTGAATCGTAGCGTCTAAAAGCGTTTCAAAATGCAGTGAATTTGAGTATTTCCCACCCCAATTATTTTAGCGATTACGCGACCACTTAAAAAAATCGCGGTGCTTTTTGTGCTGACATAAATTAATTACGCTTGGGTGCATTGGGAGCGAACATCAAATCCTTTACTCAAATCTTGAACATAACTTCTGTAAACTTGTCGTTTTGTACCAACCTTCGATACTACTGTCTACCATTGTGATGCATTCGATAATATTTATCCATTTTTGTGAAGAAAATCGATGAATTAATTTTATTTTATCAAAAAAGCACATGAACAAAAAACCATCGCTGATTTTATCACCGATTTACAGGGGTTGTAACTCTGTATGTAATATTATAGGGGGCGCTAAAACATCTGTTTAACAACAAAGTGGCAATGGAAAAGAGTTACTAGATGATCGTGACAAAACTCGGTACTTTCATTTCATTCAATCAGTATCAAATAATGTGTCATTACGCATGAAAACAATGATCAGATTAGTCGTTTAATAAAACAAAAGATTAATGAACAGATAATCCCGGGTTGATTGTTATTTTTACATTTCTTTTTACCTGATCAGTGGGGTCCAGTTAATTAACTACTACTCACGGGATTAGGGGGAGTGTTACAAAGAAAGAACGACAAGATGGTATCATTCAATAAAGGCCGTTGAATGGGCGATGTTTTGTTGAATTTATTAGTAAAATAGTGACCGCTGGCCGCGTTAGAGGAGTGACTGTTGAAACAGTAGAATTTTTACAGGGGGAATTAATCGTGATGCCCGTTGCACGCGTTGAACAGGTGCGTGTTTAGTAGGGGTTAAATTACTTAAAAATCGCTCGGGGGGATTTTTTGGTGCTCATTGAAGCAAGTGTTCGCTGATTAGGAGTGCACGCCCAAGCAAGTTCTACTGCACATCTCTAAATATGTGTATAAGAAACCCATTAATATATACTATGACCATATTGTGTTATATTAATCATTGTATCTAAATTTATCTGGATATTAAATGCATCATTTTGACTTTAACTGGGTTATCTTGCCTGTTTTTATTGAATGAAAGCTTCTCACATTTCAATATGGGCGTAAATATATGGACATATTAATATCATACCGGTACTTAGTTATCGTAACAACTGGTCATGACTGTTTTATATAGTGGATAACATAAGTTTAAAATCAACCATCCTAAATACACTGCTCTGATTAAAATAACTTGAAATACCAAAAATGAAAATTTACCTCAAAGCTACATTCATTGATTTGAAGGTAGGGTCGTCAAACTTTGTTTCAATATTACCTACAAAATCAAAAATATATAATAATGAGATACAAAATTACTTCCACTTACTTTGGTTATTATGCTTGACTACTCTTTGGAACATCAAATGTCTTCATGAGTAAATTATTCCTTCAGGGTTTCTATTTTCTTAATTGAATTTGTTTTACTTACCTGAGAATCAGCATTTGCTTGAAACATTTTAAATCATACTCTAATAACAATACCGCACATTCTTAAAATAATTCTCTTAGTGTTTATTCTAATGGAAAAAAATACTTTTGCCAAAACAATATAAATATTCAATACTATTTTGAAAGAGCCTTTGATTCAACTTCTACTTATAGTACAAACCTTTTATAGCCACACCATTTCTTCTCACTGACAACATAGCATTCTTCATTACTTCTGGACTATTTGTTGATGAATTAATCTCAATCTTTTCGAAGTCAATAGGTGCTCCAGCATATCTACATTTAATAAAAATATTAATATTAAACTGGCTGAATATCAACATTACACTGACTCAATTTCAAAGCGGTTGCAAGAGATTAGTCATTTCAAGACTTACACATATATAGTACACCTTAATTTCAATAATTCACTTGCAAGTAGCTTAGCTTGGCTGTGAAAGGAAACCAGAGAAAGCCTAGACGGTTAGGCCAGTGACCCTACTCCTTGTTGCATATAAATCTGAGATAAAAAAAATGACTTGGCACCCAAATGAAATATGGTTGCAAGATTGGTGTTGTAACCAAATATAAATAGAATGTTCAATAATGATACAAGTTTGGAAAACAATGAAACTTTTACATATCACCATACCTGAAGACTTCCTGTACATGTCCTAATAGTTCAGGACCTACCCCATCACCTGTCATAAGGGTAACAGTGTGACGTCCTCCATATTGAGCTGCCTGTAAATACAAAACTTGTAGATTAAATTTTGCTTAGTTGTTAAGGTGTAGGATTGAATGACCAACTTGTCAAAATCCATGTATATGTACAGCAACTTAAACAGGAGTTATGCAAGAGCTAATAAAAAAATCTGTCTATCGCAGGTATTTCTTTAAATGTTATATAAATTATTGATTTGACATTATTTAACTTACCAAGACCATAGATAATCAAGTCTAGATTTTCAATAGATTTAAATACGATTTGGGGTTATGATTTAATGTAAAAATGGGTAATCGAGACGGTTTAGTATCGTATAAACGGTGGCAATAATAATTGAGGCTATACTGTAGCGATAACTTGGCTCAGAGTTAAGTAATTTCACTCAAATTTTCAACATACCCCCTTTTCATTATCTATTTTTTAACTATTATAGTGAAAACTATCAGCTCTTAATCTAATCTTACATACTTCCCCTTTAAATAGAAAAACTGCTGGAAAACTATGCATACAAAGTGGTATTACCTGATTTTGCCTGGATGTACTAAAATTGTTTTGATGTTGCCCTGTTCCAATCAAGCTTAAGAACTTTGAGGTCTGAAAAAGATAACAAATACATTTTAGCTATTAACAAATAAACTCATACAATTACAAACACATTACCAGTACATAGATGTGTACTTAGTCTTATAAATGGTACAGAGACATATGCCACATCAGGTTAATTACTTAATCGAAAATTGCGAAGTTAAAGATTGCCCATTTACATGTACCTGGCAAGATTGGGCAACAAGACTTCAATATTCAACTGTTGGGAAATCACCACCCAGTCAGTACTGTACTGTAGGCCTAATTAATCAGTTACAGAGCATGATACCGAATTCAATGGATGTTTTTATAATGTTTTCTTCCATAGCATAAAATTCTTGGTATTTACTAGGCTTTTTATTATTATAACGCTTAAGCCTGCAATTGATATCTACAACAATGAAGAGAAATATGGGCAAGAAGATTTCCTGGCAGGCAATCAAGATGTCAGACAGTGGTATGAGGGCTACCAGAGGCTGGAATATCTAGTCTTACTCTTAGCCAGGTATGGTCTGCAGAGTATAGTTTGTTTTCGACGAGATGTCTCGCGTGCAATGAAAATGCTTCTGGCGTGCAACTTAAAAGTTCAATCAAGCATGAAAGAAATAAATCCATGCATGATAAAATAGGCTATTTTTCAATTGCCTGCTGTGTGTTTCCAAAGGTACCCTTCCTCAAATTCAAAATTGTAGCAACCAATGCAAAAGATCATTAACCATACACGACCATACAATTGGGTTAATTTGACTTGCTCAGGAAGTCACTATTTAATTACCGTTATGATAACTCTCTTGGTTTATGGAAGACCTAACAATTAGTAAGGTAAAATTTACGTGCTACAATTGGTGTGCAAATCTAAAGAAAATTCCCATGCACCAGACATACTCTGCAGACTAGCCCAGGTTGTTATTTTTTCTGATTATTTTAGGTCTGGACGGTGCATGTGCTCAATTAAAAGTGTATGTGTGCTAAATTTTGCCTTTAGATTTCCCAGTTTTAAAATAAATGAAATATATATCTGGTTCATAAATGGGATATATGTCACCATTTATTGGTCTGTCTTGATTTCTATGGATGACTTTGTCTTTGACTTTAGATAAACATTAATTTTTTGACCGGGGACAAGTCATATTTCATCGTTTTTATCTTAACCCTCTGAAAACAGTTCGCATGGTATATACCATTCTCTGCCATTTGGGAGGTAATATATAAAATATTTAGTTTCGTTAAACTATAAAGACGACTACATATCATACTAACGGGATGAATAGATTTTTGCTTCAACAGCAGACGCCCGGCTAAAGCTGCCATCTTTGATCAGGACCGACTTGGTTATGATACGACGCTTACTCCGCATGCTGACAAAAATCAAGCCGCGCTAATCCTGTTCGAAATGTCTAACTCATTTTTACTAGACGTGAATCAGAACAATAGTCACCAAAAGGTCAAATGAAAGTGTAAAACTTAAGTGTACTGGCCACGAAATAAGAAAGTAAAGTATGAATGATTGTGGCCAGTAAGCGGCACTGAGATTTCAGAAGAATAAAGTTTGACAAGAAATTGAACTGAAGTTGGCAGTCAGATTCGTATCCCCGCTATAGTTCTGGGGAGAGAGGGGGCGGGGTCTTGGCAGGCCCGTAGGCAGCCTGTTGGCTGCGAAGGGGCGGTAAACTTTTTAGCAGGATGGTGGGGGTGACAAGATGAAACTCTAAGAGGGGGGGGGGATTTCGACCTGAAATGGTGGTCTGTAGAGTATATCCCGATCGAAAAAAACATCGCAGAGAGGGGGCCAGTGGAAAGGCCGGGGTCCCACTGCCAGTCCGGGCCCGATGATATCTGTTCGCCAATCTTGTCAAGCGAGCTGGTGGAGTGAGAAACGAGGGCCCGACGAAAATGTTGAATAATTAACAAGACCGCTACCAATCTGTTTCACAGAGAATTACGAGTCCTCGATATATCTCTGTAAAAGATGACTGCCTTTAACACGTGCCGTCACAACACGCGGCGTCAATCATTGGCTGAATGGCGCGTGCATTGTTTACATAAGACGTGACTGCGTCGGGCAGAATGCTGCCTTTTAGTCATTTTTATACCCATTACATTAAATAGGAAATAATTTTTACCAACAAATATGTCAAACGTCTTTATTTATTTTTCTAATACATCCTAAAAATGTTTTAGATTTTAATTTGTCGGTGGAAAAAAGTTAATATTTGAGACTCATTAAGTCGCATTGATGTCATCCTTATCAGTGATTGTAGCGGCCTAGCGATTATTCACTGCTGATCAGTGTGGACTGCTACCTGTCAACCAGAAATAATATTTCGGGTTTCGGGTTATGAAAACATTTCTGATATCAACTACCTAATAATTTCAAAACTCATCGAAAAAAGGCTACAATGTTTCACGATTTTGGGGAAATCGGTCTTCATTATTTTTTCTAACAAATATATATATAAAAAAAAAATTGTCACCAAATCGCCGGGCTCCTTCGGAACCCGGCCAAGGCATTTGCCTCTGTTGCCCTTGCCATGATCCGTCACTTTTCCTCTTCCGGAAAATTTTGAAAATTGTACGGACGCAAACGCGTTTTCCAGCCCAGAAAATCGTTCTCTAGCAAACTAGGAACAATGAACATAGTGACAAGACAGGAACCCTGTCAGAACATAACCAATTGGCTAATATGAGACTTGGTGCAAGGTGCCACGTCCCCAAATCAATACCCCACATGATTATTCCTGTCTGCTGTCTATTACAAACAATAGGTAATTTTAGAACTGTGGTCAGCAATTTTTTTCGGGGAGGGGGTGGGGGTAAGGACAGGTCAGATTAAAATATAAAGGCCACCGGCAGATTTCGTCAAGGTCACGAGATGATTGTTGCCGAGAATTGTGAGTTAGGGTAAGGGTTAGGGTTAGCACTAGCCGTGTCTGCATCTCGTGACCTTGAGGAAATCTGCAGGTGGCCTTAATATTTAGATCTAACCATAAGGACGGTGGTGTGTCATAGGTACGGAGGGGCTAAGCCGAATCCGTGACAACTCATTGAATGTTTGTAGCTGTTATCATGAGTATTTATGATTTAATAATAAATAAATAACAATATTCATTGTCAGTATCTTAATCAAACATAAGTCAAGGAAAATATTGGTCTTCTGTCTTGGTCTCGGTAGTCTTCTACTTTGGTCCGAGTGGTTTTTGTTGGTGCGGGTGGTCTATTTTTTGGTCCAAGTTGTCTTGGAATTCATGAACAAGACGTTAAGGGCCCACAATGGAAGTCAAATCATGCATTCGTTGGAGATGATAGACCCTAACAAAAAGTGGTTTTAGAAACCGTGTTTGGCCGTCTTTATTGTTTCTCATGCCAAATATTCCATGATTCAGTTACTAACACATGAAATAGAATTAATTTCTATAGCTGTAGCATGCATCGAGTATGATTTTAGTGTATTGAAAAAACATCCAAATAACAAAGTTTAGGTAACTTTAGGTTTACCAGACGATAAAAAAAATGATAGGTTATATAAAGCACGTTTAATCTGGGGACCGACAAAAAGGAACCACGCACATCAACAAAGCGCTTTACTAAATCGCTCTAATTTATTACTTCATTGCTGATTACTTATTACCGAAAGAAATAGAAATGAGCCCAGAATCAAATTACTTTTGGTTATATGTATGTCCGCAATTTACACCGAATATTTGCTAAGACACTTCTCGCGGCTGTCAGGTACCTTAATATTCTTTTTTAGTTACCACAAAAGTGACCTCTATCGTGTTCACAAGGTTGAAGAAACCCGTTCAATATTGCAGCTTTTATCGTGTTCACAATCTTTTCGGAAAGTGTGTGTGTGTATGTGTATGCGAGAGTGTGTGTGTGTGGCGGGCGGGGGGGGGGGGCATTCCGAAACCAAAGGGCGCAATATGGTGAATGTCTTGACTAAGGTTGGCGTTGGGCATTTTCCACTCTGCACGTCACATCATTTGGAACACAATAATGAGATAGATGTTCGTTAGGTAAATATATAGACTGATTTCGATGATGAGTTTTCTGCTTAGACTTAGCAGTTGTCAGTCTATCGATTTGGAATTGAGGCGGGACATCCGCCGAACAGTTTGCTTGTTTAATTTTGGAGAAGAACTAAGTCTGCCTACCATATTTATTGTTCCCCGCCTTTCCGTCCGTCCGCCGCACTATTCTTGAGGCAGCATCTTCAAACTTTGTGTAGGTGTTCATTAAGTAAATGCCTTGACTACGTCCGATGATAAGCATCTCGTGCTTAGGCAAGGTGGAGATAAATAATTTGACCCTCCTTATAATTAAGTTAGAATGTTTAATTGCCTATAAGCTTCATCGTGAGAATTTTCCACAAAAGCTAGGGGAAGCAATTCGGTTCACTGAGACTTTGATTCTAGTTGGTGGATGTTCGTGCATAGTTTCTTTACCTCCCTCCATACCTTTACTTTGACGATGAAGAAATAGGGATAACTAATTGGGGGTAAGCATTTTGATTGCTTTGTTTATGGACTGAGGAGGGGAACATTGGGCTTGTTATTTTCGAGATATGTATAATCAGAGATTAACTGTTGTTCTAAAAAAGGAAAGGAATCAACGATGGCTCAGTGGGTATGAGGTTTGGGTTTCTTTTGTCGGTGGTATAGAGGACAGCGTGTCTGGCAAGGAAACGGCGTCTATAGGCGTGGGGATGCGACAAATAACTCATGCCCACTCGTGCTCAGATTCGTCCGTATACTCTTTAGCGTGCACGTAAAGAGTCCTTGACAGTATAAAAGTAGCACGCTAAGCCATAAAAAAGAAAAGACCGTAGGATTGACTTGGATGGACGTGTTAAACTCTCAGGTAATCAGCAACCGAATCACACTGCCAAAATAATATTTTATTCAGATTTGTATCTGAATAGGGATTGGGGAACAGCCTATACCAAACCCCTCTATATCAATAAGCTAAGACTGTGTTTATATAAAATTTAGATGAAGAGCTGACAGTTAAAAAATAGATAATGAAAAGGGAATATGTTGAAAATTTCTGTCAAATTACTTCATTCGTCGTTGGAAGAACAGTGTAGTCTCGATTGGCATTGCACCGTTGTTGCGATAATAAGGTCTCGATTATCCTGTTTTTAATTAAATCAATCGTATTTAAATCTGTTGAGAATCAAAACCACCTGAAGTTCTAGAGAGTTGGTTATGGGCTTGGCATGTAAATAAATGTCTTAAGGATTTATATAAAATTTGTGGCCAAACGAAATATCTTCATTAGTCAGATTTGGCTCTTGAATATTGCACCTTTCATCTTGGCACATAATGATGGTCTGATTATCAGACTCTGATATTTCGTGAACCATTTCATACCACGACGGTTTGTCTTTTATAGATCAACGTTGTTCGTCGTCTAGTGTCACGACTTTAACCCAACCCCTTAAGGGTCCTTAACTTGCTAGGGTATTTATGATTACACATTTAGTGATAAACTATCTACGATTTTCACCGAAAGATACGTGTTTTTCTTTTGGTGAAGTTTAAGCTCCGTTTTAATTTAGTTTCTTGAACACTAGATACCCCCAATGGCGTTCACACACCTGTTCAGATACTTAACACTCTGAATCGCTCTGAGATCCTGGGACTGGAACTTTGTCTATTTATTACAAGGTAGATTCATATACCGATTGCTTTGACCGTTTTATTTTTTCTGGCAATTTGATGTAGATTTAATTTGCTGTACATACTAATTACGAATAATTTTGAATGAGTAAAACAGCTACTGTAAACTGTAATGGAAAGAGTCACGTATCCATTGCTTGTATTTAGGATTGATGTTTGATCCCTTTATTTACATTACTATTTACATAGTACATGGACACCAACTGGGGGCGGAGTCTGTAGTCACGTGATTTTCCATTTATTGTTATTTTTGTGGTTATTTTCACGTTTTTTGTGCTTTGTTGGTTTTGTTTCAAGACAAGGTAGATTTTGAACCGATGACAAGGTGTATTTGAGCGCGGATATAGATTACTGTTGTTAAAACACAAGTCAGCGCTTTTAAGTCTAAGTTTATCTATTGATTGTTGTCTTGTCGCTGGTTTAAAAAATTGAAATAGTTTCTAAAACTTTGTCGAGTTCAAAATTTATTTAGTCTACGCGATCAGAGCCTAGACACACATGGCAAACTTTATTTTCTAGCGTGGACTAAACTTTAACAGTTTCGATATCTTTTGAAGTATCGGGTACACTGACTTTCAGTTTAAAAATTCACCTTTATATACTGTGGCAATATATAGTTTGTATTCACGCCTCAAAATGAAGACTTTAAACTATATATTGATTTATTTGGTTGGTGCTCTTATGACGTCAACAGTTATTGGTGAGTATTTTTCAGTTGAAGAAATGTAAATATACAAATATAAATTTTAATCTTCCCCTTTTATCCGGAATTTATTTATTTTAGAATTGTAATATAATATAAATATTGTATATTATATACTTGAAAGGCAAAATTACACCGTTCACAAATGTGATCTAAATAAATATAAAATAATATTGAACTTTATTGCATAGACAACTCATTAAAATCTATGACCTACGCGTGTTCGTTTTGTATGTTTCTAGTTAGTTTGGTACCATGCGAAACTTTTTTGTAGATAGTGGGGAAAGAACTGCTTTTTTGGGGTCCATATTAAAGATGTACAGGTTGTACAAAACTTTTGCCATATATTCCTTTATGTTCTTTTTAATTTAGCATGATTTTTTGATGATTTGGCGAGCAAGGATTTATATTACTTCCATAATTTCAAAAAATATCTATCAAGTTAAACCATAGTGTTTTTGAAAAGGGCTAAAAATTGTACCCTTTTCAAACGGGCGCTGAAAAATATGAAAAAAATATGTTGGGAATAAAGGCGGCCACAAAGGACTAAAATGCCTACTTTTTTGATGTGAGTTAGTTGTATTTTACGTCCGCTTCCACTTTTTTCATCTGAGTTCAATTTTATACCCCTGTTAGACAGGGGTGGCGTCCTTACTGGGCTGCTACGGCGAGGGAAAATTGTCTCAGAGCGCGTCAAGATCGCCATAAGCGTGGTAAAAGCGTGGTGGAAACGCCAGATATCGTGCTGTGGTCTCCATGGTCGCTGTTCAAAACAAACGGGAAGGTTCTGCGATCTGACATGGAAAGCTCACGTGGAAAGACGCTTTGAAAATTGTAACATCTGCAACGACGACTTCATGGCGTCTTCACTACGACCCTCGAGAATCTGCAACGACCCTACCAAGCGTTAGGGGTTCTTCTGGCGTTGTCATGGCGATGTTACGATGATTTCACCACTGTTGCACGATTGCACCACGTTCTCATTGGGCTCCCAGTGCGCCCATGGCGATCTTACGGGGTTCCCACTGCGTTTATGGAGTTCTTAATATCGCGGTTATGGCGACCAGGCTTTTTCATGTTCCACTTGCTATAAAAACAGGCGATTCAAAGTTCATCTTGAAATTTCCAAAAATCTAACCAGCTTGCACATGCAGTCGCGACACACGTAGAAGGCGTATGGTAAGAACCCCCTGAGCGTGGTTAGAGCGCCGCGGGTTCGCTGATGATCGCCGTTGCCAACCCAATAGATCTCAATAGAAACGCCATATCGCAGAGAGATCGTGACGGGTGCGCCGTGAGAACGCGATAAACGGACGCCACCCGGACTGACGGGGGTATTACGCCAATTTTATACTGAATCTCAACCCTATACTGAGAAATTATTTAACATCCGATAATCATACCCGAGACTTAAAATAACAAACTTAATGAAAAACAAATTTTATTTTTAGTTGACGTCACAAAATGTATTTTTTTTATTCATTATTCCACTTTTAATGAGATACAGAATAATCTCGTTTTTCTAGTCAAATATTGGAAACGAATGGATTATGTATACCACATGCAAGCTGCACATCTATATAAATTAAACATGTCACCGTGGACTGATAAACATGTTCTTGAAATATTTACAAACTGTTGGCAGTCAAAATAACAGGTGCATTTTAATGTGTGTTTCTGTTTTCAAAGTTGTATCATTTGTCATGTTTTGTTGTACAGTTTGTCTATTTATATTATTAGTGCACGTACGCTCGATATACTGTACATGGCCTATTTCAAACTCCTCTATTTGACCTAACATTTTGAAATATGCTTGGACTGTTTATGTCATACATTCTATTGATCGGATTTGATTGAAAGTGACGGTTGTGGTAGATCACGTGGGCAAGTGTAGCTTATGGGCTGATGGGTTCCAATATCTACAATATCATTCAGAATAACGGTCTGAATGGGGAGAGGTGTGTGGATTTGTGTGTGTGTGTGGGGGGGGGGGGGCGCCTGTCATTGAGTCAAGTGGCGTGGTTTCGATAACAAGCATGTACGTGACAAGGATAAGGGCCGTCTGCCCAACCACGTTGGTTTTCTCCGGGTCCCCCGGTTTCTTCCTCCCACTGCTAATTACAGAAATACAATTGCAGTCTACTAGTCCCGCGTTGGTCTGGTTTGTGTCGAGTGGACGTTGACCCCCCCCCCCCCCCTAATCTCTTTACCTGAAGAAAATTCATCAATGAGATATAAGAGAACGGTCTAAAACGTCACTGACTCCACTGCTTCCAATGTCATTGATGTCCTACCAAGTCTTGCTAGCCTGGAGGTCGGGTGTTCGATCCCTGCATTGGCCGAGAAAGTTCATCCAGATTTTCCGGCGTGGTTCTCCCTTGTCAGTGATGCAGGACGGAGGGGATGACAAGGAACAGCTGTCTAGTCGTTCGGATGGGACGAAAAACCGAGGTCCCGTGTACACATTGGCGTGCACGTAAAAGATCCCTTGGCAGTTGGAATTCGATATAAGAGTAGGCCGTAGTGCCGCTGTCCGGGCAAAATTTCCCTCATAGCACACTGTATAGCGTATGCCCGTCTTCATTAGCCCAGGTTAGGAGCAGAACAGTAGGACGTTTAACTCCATTTCATTTCATTTCATTTCATGCCAGGACGTATAATTTGAGGGGTCCGTACTTTATTCTCACCGGTTATTCAAATAGATCATTCGATATTATTTCACAGAACTGATACAATACTCAAAGAGTAACCAACTTTTTATTTGATTCATGGGGAAATCAGTTTAAACTAATTGGTGACTTGTCTCTTTTATTTACGCTATGCGTCGCCTTATCGTTAAAATTAAGCAAGCCACGATTGGTATTTAGCAGAGTGAAGCTACACGCTAACTCTTTCTAAAAGTGTCATCAAAAGTAAAGCTAACATAAACTCGTTCTCAAACAATTAGTGACGGCTTAAAGATACGACTACTTGTGGAAAGATTAATACTGAGTTCAACCGTCATCGTACCCAACAGGGCTTTCCCCACAATTCACCAAAACCGCCACTCATTTCGAAAAAGAATGTTTGTAAAATGGTAGAAATATGTCAGACGACGATTTACCGTGTCACAGAAAAAAGATTATACGGTACAAACTAACAAACTATTGAAACTGTTTCGGTCACATACATATTGTCCCGGTTTTGTTGGAAACATTTTATGGCCAAATTAATTTATATCTTCATTAAAAGGGGAAGTCTTAAATATGTTTTACGGAATACAACTGATTAGTTCTGTGTGTTAGTCTCAGAAACATTTACACTAGTCATGTGAATCTCTGTGATTTCTTTTCTAAGAGACTTTTAGTTTATTTGGGTGTTGACCAACTGTATAAGTGACTGGATAACCTTATCTATTTCCCAAAGCAGTTGAACGATAAGGGATTTGGACTCACGATTAGAATGTACCGGAACCTCGGGACTTTTCAAACCCGGTTCCCATTTGTCGGGGATAGCCTAGTCATCCGGGTGGGAAGAATATAAGGTCCATCATGGTTAATGTCATAAACCCTTATGGTATTATAAAAACTTTTCAGAAAATTGCTTTGTTGAATTTTTTTTTATCGGCGCTTTAAGTTTAGTAGTCTTTTACAACATGGGTTATATGTCACAGTGAACATAATGTCAAATAACATGTATATGTGTCTCACCACCCACTTTATTGACATGTACAAGTCTAACAAATCAGAATTAATTCAACAGTAAACATATGTACTCTACATCCCGAACACATTGTAATAAAATCAATTGTTTTACACGTCTTGTGTCATGTCACATCTTATCTATCGTGTGTATGTTTTCTCGGTAGCTTAAGGTTAACTAGATTTGTCTGTTTGCTGGTATTCGTTTATAGATCGCTCTGGTATTGGCCGATTTCGATTAATTGCCGAGAAAGCGAGACTATAGCAAGAAATGAATTGAAATCGAGTTTAACGTCCAACTTTTCTGCACAAACCAATCTAATGGAGAAAAGCATATGGAATAATAAATATTATATTTCAAAAAAAGATCATGAAAATGAAATATTAATATTTATGTATTCTTTGCCAGGGCAACCATATTATTACTGTTAACGATAATAGTCGAAGATACAATTTCTGCCGGAAATTAGCACACATCGTTATTTAAAAGAGCTAATCGCTATTCTTTGGCACATAAAAATTGACACAAATGGATTATTGTAAAATGCATGTATAAACTGATTTACATTCAATCGTTTCTGTTTTTATTGCAATTTCTAATCAGTTATGTTCGGCAAAATACGGGAGAATCCAAATTGAACGGCAGTCTTTGGCATCTGGTTATTCCAGTCTACATTTTTAGGATTCTCCCGTGGGATATGTTTAGCCTCGTTCATCGTGTCGCTACATTACAAATGGCGCCCGAAAGCATTCTGGCGCGCGTTTGCCAATTTTAAGATTTTCATCCTGTCTTAAATATAAAATATCAGAAGGCCATATTTTCACGGTAAGATAAAAACATCAATGTTGATTTAAATTGACCAATAAGTCATTTTTGCATTGTTAAAGACTGTGGATGATATTGAGTTAAAGACATGCCTCCTTTAACTGAATTTGTGCTCGAACTTCAATTGCTTGTTGTCAGAGCTCGATGTAAAACATGCAATTTCAAAACAGTCTTTTCCCTTTATCAACCCTTTCCAAGAATGCATTGATTCTTTTGTAGTTAGACAAAGGAATAATAAAAAAAGACGAGCAGAAAAAAAGAGCACATCACTAGACATGGTGACCCAGTTATAACACAAATCATCCGACAGTAAAAATATTGAGTGTGTTTAACGGTGTCGTTTTGCTTGAATTCAAGACATAAATAAATCTGAAGTAGCGTTAAAAACTGCATTTGTCAATAACAGATTCTTGTAAAGGGGGTCATAAGTGTAAATTATTTTAAATACAAATACTACTGCCAAGCTATATTTCTTTCAAATCAACGTTTTTCTGTCAATACAAATATTTTTTTAAAAGTCATCCATTCTCGTTTATTTTCCCAATGCACACTTTGTTTTGGCTTCGTATCACTAGTTCTTATAGATCACCGGTCGATTTTTTCTTCGGTTCTGTTCAAATTGATGAACAGGTGAAGACGCTTTTAGATCCTAAATAAATACTTCCGAGTCACTACATTTTTCAAATCGCTGTTTCGATTGGACACTGGGATAAGAAGTATTTGGTATTTGTTTTGCTGTATTTTATCTTTAATGTATTTGTTAATGGTTCGATGTTCTTGAAACATTCAATGATACAACTAGTTTGTGATGCAATGTTTCGGAACCCGTGTTTAGGATGTTAGGTGGCACAAACAGTAGTCACATGAAATTGTTTCTGTTATATTTTATTCTGGATTGTTGTTCATGTTACATGATTATTACGAAACAACACATAAAAATAATTCAGGATATAAACTTTTGTTTGTTGTCCGGTATAACTAAAACCACTTCAACTAAATCTCAATGGCCATGGGTTACCACGTGACCATATTTACCACAAAACGTGATTTTACGTTGTCTGGTGACGATAAGTGTAGTTTCATCTCCATTCTAATAATACGTTCGTCTTTCAGGACAGGTCTCACTTAATAATGACATACATAAACACAGATAGAGCGCCATGATTTTTTCTCTAACCATGCCTTAAATAAATCCCACCCAAATCATGTGCCAATCTCCCTAAAATATATCTAAATTTCGTTTCGAAATAACGAAATAGTATGTTTTAAACCACATTGCTGTAATACCAGTAATATATAGCCGGGTTGAAATTTCACCGAACAAAATTATTCCGTTGTTAGTGATAAGGGTATAGGAAAATTGTCTATCCTGAATTTTCAAGTTTACAATATAGCACCCCAAATTAACTATTATAAATTATGAAACTTGTTGTACAACTACTTAAAATAAAAGTTGAATAATATCTGTAGCAGTGGACCATTTCAGTCGGGCAGTGGTAAATGTATATTGGACACTTTCATTTAAGAGGACTGCTAGATTATATTTTTACACGCCCACATTTTCATGTGGACGTATATTGTCGTCGCCCCTGTCCGTCCGGACGTCCGTCCGTCCACGATTTGTTTGTGGACACTCTACAGGTCACAATTCTTATCCGATTTTGACGAAACTTGAAATATAGGTTTATCTCCAAAAAGATCTCGGTTGCTTTCGATATTGGCATGTATCGGATCGAAACTTCATGGATTATGGCCCCTGTTTGTACGAAAAATCACCCTTTTAGCTTGTGGACCCTATAGAGGTCACAATTTTTATCCGATTTTGTTGAAACTTGAAATATATGCTTATACCCCAAAGATCTCGGTTTCTTTCGATATTCGCGCTTATCGGACAGTAATTTCCTGAATTATGACCCCTGGTTGTACGAAAAATCGCGTTTTTAGCTTGTGAACCCTATAGAGGTCACATTTTTTTTTATCTGATTTAAAAAACCGTATTATTATATCACCATTACGCCCTAAGGACGGCTGAGTTCGAATTTCGTGAAAATCGGCCCAAAACTGACAGACAAAATGGCAGCCCTTCGTTCTCAAATAGCGTAAAAATATAGTATATTATCAAGGTTGTGGACCCTATAGAGGTCACAATTTTTATCCGATTTTGTTGAAACTTGAAATGTAAGTTTATAACCCACAGATTTCGGTTCCTTTCGATATTCGCGCATATCGGACGGTAACTTCCTGAATTATGGCCCCTGTGTGTGATTTTACGAAAAATCGCGTTTTTAGCTTGTTGACCCTATAGAGGTCATAATTTTTATCCGATTTAAAAAATCGTATTATTATATCACCGTTACACCCTAAGGGCGACTGAGTTCGAATTTCGTGAAAATAGGCCCAAAACTAACTGACAAAATGGCCTCCCTTCGTTCTCAAATAGCGTAAAAATATGGTATATCAAGGTTGTGGACCCTATAGAGGTCACAATTTTTATCCGATTTTGTTGAAACTTGAAATGTAAGTTTATAACCCACAGATCTCGGTTCCTTTCGATATTTGCGCATATCGGACGGTAACTTCCTGAATTATGGCCCCTGATTTTACGAAAAATCGCGTTTTTAGCTTGTTGACCCTATAGAGGTCATAATTTTTATCCGATTTAAAAAATCGTATTATTATATCACCGTTACACCCTAAGACGACTGAGTTCGAATTTCGTGAAAATAGGTCCAAAACTAACTGACAAAATGGCCGCCCTTCGTTCTCAAATAGCGTAAAAAATATGATATATCAAGGTTGTGGACCCTATAGAGGTCACAATTTTTATCCGATTTTGTTGAAACTTGAAATTTAAGTTTATAACCCAAAGATCTCGGCTCCTTTCGATATTTGCGCATATCGAATTTTAATTTCCTGAATTATGGCCCTTGATTATAGGAAAAATCACTTTCTTTTTTAGCTTGTTCTCTATCCATCTCTCGACAATGTGGGCGTATCCTGCCTGGTAGCCGCTGGTTTGATTACGAATGCGATGCAGCGGAATTGAATTTTGTTCGAACAGCGATGTTTCCACCTTTAAATGGTCTTTTTCGAATTTCATGGCAGAGGTTCTTTTATATTACGCACACCACTGTGTCACCGAACGACTAATTAGGCATACATTTCCTGTCGTCGTCACAAGCCTTACACTGAGAAAGAACGTGAACAGGCTTTAAAAAAAAAATACCGATTCAGAACAGGCAGCAACAACGTACTCAACGAAAAATAAAATAACTTACATGTATAATTAATCTATTTTCTATGGCTTTTTTTATTTTTCAGGCATGCGACAAGAGACACTAGATTATATGGCAACCTTTATGAATATTAGATATGAAGTTATAGACAATATTAGAGATTCTTTGAAACTTTTTGAAGCGGAATTAAGTTTTACAAATCAAGGGGAGGACCCCATCCCTGCTTCAGAATGGGAATTGTATTGGTGTCAGATGAACCTTGTAGAGCCTGAATTCTTGCCACGTGACGAAGGGGTTGTGCTTGACAAATATAAAGTGAAATTGTCACATCTGCAAGGATGCATGTTTAAATTAGAACCTGTTCGGGGTTTTAGAGTAATTCGACCGGGCGAAACGCGCAAAATTAGATTCGTTTCCGAAAATTTTTCAGTGGCTAAATCTGATGTAATTCCTAATTGGTATCTATCGTCAAACGGTTTAGAGAGTCGTGTGTTGGTTAGCACAACTGGAGAAAGTTTAGATTTTGTTGGAGAGTTTGACACTCCTAATAAATGGAAACGTTACGACTGGAAGGACGAGAAGAGTGAAGGACATGATCTTTATGACCCATTCACGCCCCGTACGCGATATGCCATGAACGCTGATGTAGAAGACAAAGGTCGACCTGGAAAACTGGTCATTCCTACCCCAGTACAAATAGCTGTCGACACATCTATGACATTAAATTTGGAAACTAGGGACTGGCAAGTGGTTGCTCCTCCAGTTTTCTTAAATGAAGCAGAATTTCTGGCAGGTATTATAACCATCATGTTTCACTAATATAGCTTATAATCTACTAGGGGTACAAATGTCAATTCCGTGAACTTTTTGACTAATCAAATTGTCTACATCAATATTGCGATAAATGATAGGAATGTTTGAAGTGGTTTATGATTTTTAGCCATTTAAAATACAATATAAAGCTGTTCTTAGTGATAATCTAAAGTTGGTTAGATTGCAATGTAGAGTAGAAATCAGCCATAATAAACGAATCGAAATTGTAATCTAATTTTAATTAGATTGCTAGGGGTATCAGTATATTCCTAATACAATGGTAAAGAACAATATCAGTGTGCAATAGATATAGGCCGATTAGTTAACCAAGATTGCTGGAATTCGTACTTAATATATAGTAAACTTTTCCGAAATGTAAATTCAATTTCATTGTGAGCCGCATTAGTAGAGAAATTGCACTTAAAATGTTATAAGTGATTATACCTAGGCGGGGATAGCCAATAAGAAACATAACATAACCATAATAAGTTTAATGAACTTATGATGCTTGGGAATAACACAAATACGTGTAGACATATACAGACCATGGTTTTGGTAAACAGAAATTATTTTCATTATTCTGTATTTAAATAGTGATGTACAAAATTATACAATCCCCCAAATTAAAAAAAAACTAAATTAATTCGAATCTCGATACAAAAGGTAACCTGCGCCGTATACGATAACCATCTAACTGACGTAAACACTCTTTATAGGACTGGGTCGAAATAAGCCAGATTTCTTCAAGTTTAGGAATGTGACCTCACATTTAATACAGATTTGTTGAAGAGAATCGTGTCACCAACTTGTCACAGACAATAAATTGTAACCTAATTATTATCTGAGCTAGTCCTAGTAGTGTAAGGTAAAGGCTTAGATTATTAGTTGAATGGATAGTTTCTGACTCACATGATAAGCTGATGTTTAAAATGACACTAAAACACGGAAGCTTTTGACAAATAACATGTTTATGTGAATGATACAATATTTACACTGAGCTTAAAGTAAAATTTATTCAAAGGATTTTATCTAAACAAAAAATAGAATTTCATATTTACACCATACGTCATGACAATGTACATATACCGAAACGTACGGAATTGAATTGATAACCACAGACGGTATCTTATTGTTATCCTAGCAAATACGTATAGGGTCATTGTGACTCACTTCAAGGGAGGTTCCAGGGGTTGGGGTGGGGTGTTCGTTCTGTATTGCCCACACCCTCGTCCCTTCCTTTTATATATTTAAATTGTTTAAAGTTCCTACATACAAGAATAAAGCTTTACATTATAATTTTTCACTATTTAATCCAGGCTAAAATATACTCAAATTGATTATGCAAAATCCCGGCTTGGATTCAATCGGATTAAAACAAAAGCCCCATCTTAGCTACGATATTTAGACGGCCATCATCTAGTTGAGCTACTTATGCAAATTTTTGATTAATTATGAACATAATCATTCATTTCTTGACAGATAAACTTGGATTTGATGTCACCGATCAAAAGCCATACAGTCGATTCATTTGGTTTCATCAGGCCGATGTTAAAGTTCGTATGAAAGGTGAAGACGTCTCCAATGATGAAGTTTATTCTTTAGAAATAGATCCAGTCAAGAGTGTAATTGAAATCAAGGCACGAGCTGGACCAGGGGCTCTGTACGCGGTTAAGACTCTATTGAGTCTAATGGATGACCGTAAACTGGTACCTCGTGCAAGTATAGTTGATGGACCACGATATCCATATAGAGGTGTGATGTTGGACGTGGGTAGAAATTTTCACCCTAAAGATCGTGTAATACGACTATTGGATACTATGGCTGATTATAAATTAAACAAGTTACATCTACATTTATCAGATGATGAAGGTTGGAGACTTGAAATCCCTGGTCTAGAAGAACTAACCGAGGTAGGTACTAGTTGGTTGTCGTGCGTCCAATAGTCAACCCTGGAATCCATAAGCATGATCTGGACAATCCTGACCTAAAATAAATTATAGCGGACCCACTGGCAAATAAAGGATAATCAGGAACATAAGGGTCATAAGGGGCATTCTACCTATATGTCTTCGAAGCATTCCTTTTCCTTGAATACTTTCAAATTCAAAAATGTCATAAAGTTTTGTCTTATTTTGCAGGTAGGTTCTCAACGTTGTCACGATCCAGAAGAAACCGAGTGCCTCCTACCTTTCTTGGGATCAGGTCCAGTGCCAAGCCGACCAGGTTCCGGTTATTACACGACCGAAGATTACCAGGACATTCTCAGACACGCCAAAAGTTTACACATTGAAGTCATTCCAGAACTGGATATGCCTGGACATGGTCATGCTACTATTAAAGCTATGGAGGCCCGAAAAAAGAAACTGTTGTCAGAAAACAAAGTAGCTGAAGCTGAGAGATATATCTTAGTTGAAGAAAACGATCCGTCCGTTTATAAATCTATTCAATTGTATACAGATAATGCTATCAATCCATGTTTACAGTCCACGTATACCTTTATTACCAAAGTGGTACAAACCGTTCACGACCTACACAAAAACATAATGCCCCTCAACATTTATCATTTTGGAGGTGACGAGGTTGCAAAAGGTGCATGGGAGAATTCCACTGCATGCAGTTTCACAAAAGACAAAAAAGATATCAAACAACTGTTTGTGCGTCATATGTCCAACTTGACAGCGGATATGGGATTAGATTTGGCTGCCTGGGAAGATGGTGTAATGGAAGCAGGCAGTAAGCCTTATCCTAGGAACATTCTACAGAATCGAAACGTGTATGCATACGCCTGGGATAATATTTGGGAATGGGGTCAAGCTGGTAGAGCATATACTTTAGCTAATGCTGGTTACAAGGTAATTGTTTGGGGTTTTTTTATTATGTTTATAGGTTTATACATCAAGACGGAGTACTCTTTTATGGCATAACTGCCCAATGCAGACTTAGGTGAAATAGCGCTAACGACAGTCTTTACACATTATAGTGTACAATGGGCGTTTGAACTCAGGACAGATTAGTCAACTACAAACATCAAGAACACGTGCATTATTTACCATATAAGCCAGAGGTGACCAACCTTTTACACCCATGTACATAATATCACCTGTACAATTTCAGATGAGTTATATAACATCAAATTTATATCATCATTATTCATCATCATGGTCAAATTATTTACTTCTCTATTACAGGTGGTTATGGCACAGGCTACACATCTTTATTTTGACCACCCTTATGAACCTGATCCATTAGAACGTGGACTTTATTGGGCTCCAAGATACACTGATGCACGTAAAACGTTCAGCTTCATGGCAGAAAATCTCTATATGAATGCTGATGTTGCTAGATCTGGAGAGCCCCTTACTCACAAAGCTATGTGTGGTTTAAAAGGCGAATTTTGTCCACCATTAAAAAAGCCGAAAAATATTGTGGGTACGAAAAACTGTCTACTCCTTCTTTGGAAGCATCTCATTCGAGTTTGTCAAGTTGACTTTAGCTCTCCGCAGGTTATAAACGAGTTATTAACCCGTACAAAAATGTTTCTACAGGTTTAGTACGATTTTGATGAAACCTGAAATATGGAGTTGAATGAGGTCTTGAACAAGCTTTGATTTGAATGTGATTTGTATCATCCCTTTTCTCAGATCATTACGTTTGACTCTTTTTTATCTAGTTCACCAAATTTGTACTTATTCGCTGTTACCTTTAGAATCTTACAACTGTGTAGTGTGTAGGCTTTTACTTACCCTTTGTTTTGTAAGACTCGGCGTCCACCAAAAGCAAGTGACGACCAAAAGCAGCTGCCGGTGCAAAAAATGTTAACACTATAAATACGGCGAAAGTACCGTGCACGTCACTGAAATTAATTTATATGAATCATTTTTGATATACGCCAGGGGTGCGTTAAACTATATAAATGAAGAAAATTATTGTTTATTTTATGTGAAATATTGACGCACAGGCACAACCCCCACCCCAAGCGCCGTAATTATAATGTTTCAGTTGCTAAAAAATGATATAATCATAGGGGATGTCGAGGAATCCAAAAACGCTCGAAGCCTAGGGACCTACCATGGGTTAATACGACTACTTGACTTACCAGAGATATATAATTATGTTATTATAAAAAATAATGCAGAAATTTACACATATGCTTATATCCGAGGATTTCAACGCCAGTGTCTCTGACAATGGTTAGTTAACTTTCTTCTCTAGATTTTATGACCAAGTCAAATCTGTTTCAGGTATGCAGGGTCATCTATGGAGTGAATTAATTAGAAATCGTGATTTAGCCGACTACATGTTGTTTCCCAGATTCCTAGCTCTATCAGAAAGAGCTTGGCACGAAGCTGCATGGGAAAGAGTGAAGGACAACACATCAAGGAATGAACAAAGGGACGCAGACTGGGTAGATTTCGCCAATACTTTGGGGCACCGTGAATTACGTAGACTTGACGAAAAGGGTCTGAAATATTCTGTTCCACCAGCAGGTGCAATGTAAGTAGACATAAAATAATTATTAAAATGAATTTCTGTTACTTGCATTTTACAATAGACCTACATGTAAAGTATTAATCACTCAATATTCGTTTCACCATTCCGGCAATTTATTGTGTCCCAAGAGTTGTCTCCCTGTCTGGGCAAGGGAAAATCCAAATCCAGCTTTCTTCCAGGCTTTGATGCACATTCATGATTCTGAGGCCGAGTAAAGGGGTTGGTTGCATTGAAATGCAGCGCGGATAGTTATTAGTATGCTTCTTTCAGTTTGTGTATCTCAAGATTTCCATGGTGAACCTCAGTTATGCAATTGAGCAAAACGTTGCCACACTGCCCCAGTTGTGACAGAAAGCGTTCAACCCAATGGAAATTTGGGAAGTTACCGCCGGTCAAAGAGACGAGAATTAATTATCTACGTTGACCGTGTGTAATAGATCTAACTTCAATGTACAATCATGGTGTCTTTATACTTAATTTGTCTTTGTCTGCTATAAATGTCTTCATGTAATTATAATAGACCTAGGGCCTACAGCAGTTTTTAGCATGTATGTATTCCCGGGCAATTATAATTATATTTTCTTGTTTAGCGAAGTTGATATCAATATTGCCGTGACCTTGACTTCCTACCTGATACATTTGAAGTGTTTAATCTGAAACAATTCATCTATTTGTTTTTATGTCTAGAATTGTCAATAACAAACTACGAACTAATGTTGCTTATCCCGGATTAACGGTAGAATATAGTGTAGATAATGGTGATACATGGTGTCAACACAGTGGAGAAGTAGATCTTGTTCATCCGACCACAGTTTTCCTCAGAACTAGGTAGGTATTAATGCTAACTTCCTGCTGGACCATTAGTGATTATAATAGGGGATATAACTTCCAGAAACAAGTTCGTAAGCCAATCTTATGTTTCAGATGGCACGTAGGCTATTACAATGCATTTAGATCGGGTGTATGTTTTAGTTTTTTTTAAAATGTTCTCAGTGTTTAGTTCTGTAAAACAAATATATATATACTTAATATAAAACAAATCCGTCCCAGGTCTCCTCAGTTGTCATCAATTGTTTGCTTTTAGAGGACAATAATATGTATGTTGTCCTTTAAGGAAGTGTCGCCATTTTGAATGTTCTTCAACCAACTGTTTACTATTAGTATAAATCTTTGATTTGGTGTTGTATTTATTATTTATTTACATATTTTTCTTTTTTACTTGCAAATTGTCAAGGTTAGGGTCGTTTGTTTTTAATTTAATTGATTGATGATGTACGTACTAAATATTGTTGCTAGTTAAATTGAATGAATTATGTAATCTTCTGATTTCTTTTTCAGATCGGCTAACGGTGATAGAACCAGTCGAGTAGTATCTTTGGCCACATATGAAGGCAACCCAGCATCCAAATCTGTTAGTTTGATTTATTCACTAAGTCTACTGTTCACGTCACTATTATCTTTAACGCACACGCTTATTTAAACTACTTAATTAAATATTTTTTTTAATAATTTGATTATTTATATGAATATATTTTGTAAATAATTTACACTTTTTTTTACTTATGTGCTTGCATTGTACATTTCTATTGGCTTATTTTTTTTAATGCAAATTTACATATTGTACATATTATTCAGCAACATAATTTTCTTTGTGTTTCCAACTGATCTCAATGGAGGTAACATCAGGATTCAGACCGCGGATTTTTTTGGACAAAAACTGAATAAATTTACTGAATAGACTAATACCGCTGATGGTATTTAATTACTACCAAACAGTTAATACACGGCACTAAACAGCTTCTAAGTAGGATCAATAACAAACATTGCAGCGGGACAAAATGTGACAGGAGCCATAATAAGTAGAAATAATTGTTTGAAACAGACAAGACAGGTAGCTGGCTTATTTTCACTACTAAAGTCAAATCTTAAATGTCGCTGTAGATAACAAAAAGTCGTTTTTGAAACCCCGCTTTATTATATCTCCCGCAAAAATTTCCCGCTTCAAAACATATAATATAGCCAACATCTGGTATGATTTTAGTATAGTGAGACCCCCCCCCCCCCAGTATTTATTAAACTATCTTTCATTGTCCCCTGCTACATTTTGCCGTCTCGTTTATCATAACTCTTCATTTGTTAGGTCATACTTATAAACTGTTTTGGGCCTTTTTGTAACTGAATTGATGGGTGGGTAAGTGATACAAATCTGCGGAAATAAGATATAGTACAAAGTCTCCTAAACATTGTTCAAATTCAAAAGACCAAGAGAAACATAACGCGGGCTGTGTATAGGGAAATACCAAGTGTTTCAAAAGAGTTATGATACATAAACATCCGTGTGATAGCGAGATGCTACTGTATATAAAGCACATAGATCAACTGGAATAAATTTTAGTCGTGACAAAATGTTATACATTTTATTTTACTTATTGTAATCAGTTTTGTGTCGCAAGAACAAAAACAGTAATTGTGCCAGAACAGCAACATAAATTACACATTCCCTACCCACGGTGCTGGCAACCGCATTCGATCGCGGTGTTGGGCGAGAAAGCACCTCGGGAGCAGGATGAAGGGGTTGGCATGGACAAACGTCTAATCTTGGTTTACTCGATTGACACCCTTCGAATTCAATTCGGATCCATTAAGCCCCCCCCACCCCCGTGCCAGTGGTGCAGGACGGGGCGTGGTCCAGCGTCTAGTCTTTCGGATGGGACGGAAACCCGATGTGCACGTAAAAGAACCCTTAACAGTTGGAATTCGAAATAAGAGTAGGCCATAACGCCACTGTTCGGGCAAGATGTTCCTCATTTATAGCACACGGCATGGTATACGCTTGTCTTCATTATCCCGGTTGGTGCAGAACACTAGGACTTTAAACCCCATTTCATTTCATCTATCTTTCTATTAAATTTCTATATACTTTTATCAGGAACTATATAATTTATACATGCCTATTTGTTTTATTGTTTTTCTAGCTTGCTTAAATTGTTGGACAACACGCAACGTCTTTATAAACAAGGGCAATGATACACAAGTTTAACAAGTTTATTAATCCATTCCAATAAACATCAATGTCTTAAAATGGTGATTGGCTGTTAAAAACGATTAGTGTAATAAAAGTCTAAACTGTATCCTATCAGTGGTAATATGTTTAAATATTCATCAAACCATTTCAGTGTCTTTAAAATGTTTATAAGATTATTTGCGTAATAGCGTATCGCATGGTAACCAGTAGGAGCTCCTATGAAATGGGGTTTAGTCCTACTTGTCTGTACCAACTTGGCTACACGACCTACTCTTACTTTGATTTAAGACTGTCAGTGGATCTTTAAATTGCTACCAATGTTATACGCATGGATCCTTATTTGGGCCATCTCTATCGAACCAGGGACCTCCTGATTAGTAAGTGGGCTCCATGCTAACTAAGCTCATCGAATAACACACTATTTATGGATAACAATCACTATGGTTTATTTCACTGCGACGTTTCAACAAGATTTCACAAGTCGTTTTTAAGCATATTTGTGTTATCCAAACCCAACAAGAAGCACTGGTTGAAATCGAAGCTGCCATTGTACATTACGATCTGCGCCCTTTGGATCCCGGCAGGGGTGAGGGGGCGGCGCCTGTTGGGACCCCCCCCCCCTAAATCCGCCTTTGTTTTGGGTGAATAGAATGGAGCTTAAAGATGGGTTCCCTGAAAAGTATTTATCGGGTGGTTATTTCCAATAAAAGTATGGCAATTTTGGTATATATGGAAAGTAGATATATCCAATCTTACTAGAAAAATACTGGATTCCCCGAAAAACACTCATGGAGCGTATACATGACAAAAATGTAAGGGTTCCCCTAATCAACAGCCCGACGATTAGGAACTTCTGCACGCGTGATGTCAAAGGTCACAAGCGAACATTGAGCGCTTGATGTACAAGTTGATAAACTTTATGAAGAGTTAGTAGTACAATACTTTCTGAGATAAAAATGACGGAAAAAGAAGCGGGTAGTGGGTAATCGGAGAATTTAATTAGGATTCGATATTTGTAATAAATAATAAGCGATTAAAGACAACATCGTCTTATATATGCAATGAATTCTCCTCTGACTCCCAAGACGTGACGTAAACATGACCTGGTTTGATCGAATTTTAATAGCAGGGCATTCCTTCGCAATTACAATGTTTGAGAAGGATTTGAAGCATAATTAAGACAAATTAATTTGTTTGAATATGTTTCTGGTCCATATATACCATTAAGTCACCCAGTTTGTACGCGGGAACCCATCTTTAAGGTCTCAGCTTAGAACAGATATGATAATTGGTCAGGACAGTCATGTTGTTACCAATAACTAGAACTCTTTGGCATTTAACTAGAAAATGCTAATCGCGAGTCTGGTGACATTACCCGTTGTTTCCTGTTAAATGTGCCCTTATAAATATTCTGGAGTCAAAGCTGTTTATTTATAAAATTCTCCCTCGTCGGTTGTATTAAAGATCTCAAAGACCGCATTCAGTGTTCCAGCTATCCAAATATAATCCCACAAACTAAACAGACTTGTTATTCGAAAATGATTTTATTTGCACTAAAAATCGATAATAATAATTATTAACAGGATATTTATATAAAACTATTAACCTTATTATTTATACGCCACCAAAATAAAAAACCTGATAATATAGAAACAATGTCGCTGAAATACATTTAATGGTAGATAATAACATTTAAAATCTCAAACAAAATTAAGAGAATCTGTCAATTACCTGCCCTTGGGGTCAGAAACGAATCGCATCATTGGTGTGGATTCCGTATCTCAAAATTGCGAAAAAGACCGATGACACCCAGCTGTTATGTTACAGTTAATAAAATTAGATCTTTATTTCGTTTCGTTTTTTTTTATTAATTTCATACGCTTACTATTGTATTTGAAAAATGGTAGCGAAAATGACAGAAAAAGGAACGAAATAAAAGACCTAATTTAATTATAATTTAACGGCAGAAACAGGCAAGTATAAACTATATTAGAAAACAAATACATGCGGAGTATCAAAAAATGATCCAATAACTGTCACCAATGTAAATTTAATACTAGTTTAACACACAACACTTTTGAATTTGAGTATGGAATGCTTCAGCAAATTAATAAATTAGATATCAAGCAAATACAATATACCAAAACGAATAAAAGAGTATTGTTAAGGCTATGTCAAATTACAGGCGTATTCAATAAATATTCTTGAAATTTTTTATAAACATAAATCAAATAAATGCATTATAACATACAAATGCGGAATAAAGTAATAGCTTTTAACAAATTATGCCTTTATCATTACAATTTATTTTGTCTAGTATCCTATATATGACAGTTACGTTAAAAGTAATAATAATTGAGAGAATGCAAAATCTCACAGGTTATAGTACTGACAGTTAGTTAATGAATGAATTTAAGTATTCATTCTAATTTTATTCAAATATATTTTCTAAGACAATGAAATTGGAGAATTTTGAACATAGGTTTTGTTTTGATTGAAAGTATATTTTTGTCATTACATCTGAGAATTATTAAGAGACTGATATTCTACGGTGAGTGTGTGGCGGCGATAAAATAAATTTGTTATTTATCGATGTAATGTAGTTAAGAAGTAGGCACAATAGTAACTGGAATATTAGAATTGTGTAGAACAAAATCACTAACGCTACCTAAAAGCGTACGTTTGAATGTTCCTAAGCCCCGTGTTCCCATCACCAACGACGTGACATTTTCCTTTTGCGCCACGGAAATGATAGCTTCTCCAGGTTTGCCAGTTTCACGAACAACTTTACCTGGAATCTGAAAGAGAAACGACAAAAAAATGAACTCTGTAAAGTAACACACTTTGTATCTTTGCCAAAGAAAAGAAAATAGATTTCTTAAAACTGCGTAGTCTGTCGGTTATAACTTTCTCCAGGGCAAGGTTATTCGAGTACCCTTTTTAATTTATGAATAAATCATTAATTTTTACTTGTTTACCACTGCCTATTAAACAGTCTATTGTAGGATTACCAACCATAGTCGGTCATTTGCTCCGCCGACCCCTGAATTCTCGTTAATAAAACATCTAGAGATCTTTCAAAGTCATCATGGGCAATAACACTAGCAGCAATTATTGGAAATCTGAATGACATTTCTGGATGTGCCTCGATAGTTAGATAGATTTATTGATTATATATCAGTTGGTCGAGTGTGGTATATGGGGTCAGAAACGAATCGCATCATTGGTGTGGATTCCGTATCTCAAAATTGCGACTACACCATGGTCTCAAACAGGGCACTGTTTTAAGTAGTAGGGCAAGTGCACTGGTCCGAAAAGCTACTCTTCTGTTTTGGATTAGTTTGAATTGAACCTTCTCAAAACTATATCCAATAAATATAATATTATTAATAATATTTACCCCCTTTTTCTTTAACATTTCTGTTAGTCCTCCAGTGAGTGTTGATACTTTGTCTTCTTGTTCTTTTACTACTTTACTTATAGCATCTACATTTGGCACTACAAATAAAACGTTAGGTTGTTAGGCAAAGTAACATCCCATACTAGCTAAGACTTCCGATAAGTCCATAAAGACTATCGCACTTTTATTTCCTAGTATAAAAAAATTATATTATGAGCATATACAAAGTTATTGAATCTTACAAACTTCCAAATTTCTCAAACACAGTGATTGTTCGTACGTTGTCGGATTGTTCAGTATGTCCAAATTTCTTTTAGTTGTTAAGCCAATATGCGACACAGTCCCCACAATAATATGACAGATTTGAGGGGGCATGGCCCTCCATATTTTCTTACGAACCTCAATCAAATCTACTCAACCCACATATTAAATCCCTTCCGGTCGTTACCCGAAAACACATTGGACTTTATTCCAGAATGCTACAAATGCCGGAATTACTTTGGGAGTAATTATAGATGTACTGTGTATAAATGTCAATCAGATGAAAACGGTGGCCTTTTAAGATTGTATACAAGATCAAGAACAATAACTCGGACAGTAATTATCATCTCATGAACATAAACACTGGGTATAAATATCAAGTAGATGGGATGATAACTTTAGCCTATAAAGAGTCAAAAATATTTTTTTTTATGTGATCAAGGGCTATAATTTTGATATCAAAAATCATGATTAATAATCGGCAAATTTCTTTGCATCATGAACATAAACAATCTACCTAAAAATTTTGAATAAAACCTGAATTTGAATACCAGTCTGAATAACTGAGCTTTGAGAATTCCGATTATAGATAAGGATCTCTAATAAACTAAGTCGAAATGGCTGAAATTCTGAGGAATTTGGCGTTTATATTGATCATTCAGTATTCTTACTTTTGGTCAATATGTATACTAATTAATCTTCATGTTCTCCTACAGTGGAGTGAATTTAATGACCCATGGTGCTGAATGCTAATGAGAGATAAGTTATTAGAGATAAGAGTATTTTACTCGTTAATTGGTGCGATACTGCAAGTGTCATGTTAGCTTACAATATTTAAATGTTATATATGATTCCTTATTATAATTATTTATGTAAATGTCAACAAGTTTTAAAGCAATATTATAAAGATACGCCTACAGCAGCTAAGTCGCCCACAGTCCACGACGTCTGTCACTTTGTAAAAAAAAAAGAAAAAAAAGAGAAGGAAAATCTGTATACTTTTATCAAAAATTTTGATAGGTATGATTCTACAAAGAAGCAAGAACGATAACTAATTTATTGTTGAACAGAATTATAAGCTAAACAATGCATAAGGGCGTTCACAATATTCTAGTACAGGGTGGTCAAGGATAATAACTCTGGGGAATATATCAACAGACAGGATGATAAATGCAGGCAGTAGACTGTTTACAAGACGGACATGGTTGCCGACAATAAACGAGTAACGACTACATTTTAATATGGACGTATATACATTAAAACCTTTTATATCATGGCAATGACTAATTTTGTATGACTATCTTAGATACACTTAATTAAACACTCTGATGTATGCACGCACCGTAGCGTCACCATCACGTCTTAAAGGATTGTTAAATACATGTTGTTATATTTTATACCTATTGACGTCAGTGTTAACACCCATCCTTTAAATAGTACATAATAATAATACGTTATACAGTTGTAGAAAATATTGTGTACAATGTACCCTCTTGACTCATACTGTTAAACAGGCATTATGCTGTATATGCAAGAGCTAATCTGCCTATTGCGGGTCTTTCTTTAGGCCTTAGATGTTATATATACTATTAATTAGATATGACATGACCATATTCAACTCTTCATGCCATCGGATGGGTTCGATTTTAACGGTTCGGCCTTTTAATAATCATTCTTGTCATTCAATTCATTATGTTTAAAAATAAAGCTGAATATTTTACTACATCAACCCCCTGTGCAATCCTCTGCAGAGTGGATCTTTTTATATCACTATATTCAATATACTTGATGGTTGGGTTGTCTTCATTCCATTGATATTAAGACATACTTTCTATCATGGCTTCTATAACTTTCTTAATTGGTTTGATGATAGAGCATGGTATCCATTGGGTAGAATTGTTGGAGGAACGGTAATTTATTCCAATTTATATTCTGATTTAGATTGAAAAACATCAGCAAAATTGCCAATTAATTTGTTTTCAAGGCAAATATTACTCATTCATTGTTATATATGTCCACATTGTTGTGTAGATAGATTTTATCTGCTTTTGATGAAACTTAAAATATACGTTTTTATAACCCAATAATACATTCTACAGTAGATATGGCTTGACATCAGTTGCTCTTATTTTTTGAAAAAAATTTCACAAGTTGTTTTCCTTTATTTTGTTAATGTAGAATGGTAATGAACTGCTCTTTTCATTTTCTTTGTTTTATTTGTTTCGTTTGAATTTGATTTATCTGTTTATTTTTTGATTGTTTAATTTTTGTTAATGAAGCTGATTCTTTTAAACTTCGTTTTTTATTTTTGAACTCTACTTGGTGTAGGTGTTCATCAGGTAATACCTCGACTGAGTTCAATATAGAGATTAGCCGGTTGATTTGTTGGATATAAACCTTTGAATAATAGCGCCTAACAGGCAGCTGTGTTTAATTATGTTCTCCTGATTTTGATTGTTTCTGTGTGTTTGAAGTATATGTTTGTGATATGCGCTTAGAAACACTTCACGTGTAATGAAGCGCTATATAAATCGAACAATAATAATAATAATAATTTAATTCATAAATGGTGAAGCGAGGCTACACTTCGAACAACCAGTACCGTGGTTAGTGCACGCATGTTGTCAAACCTTCAAAGGCTAACATCTTCGATCAGAATAAAGTAATTTAGATGAAATCTTCAATATATTCATTTTGCATTATCTATTTTTGAACTATTATAGCAAGAACGACCAGCTCTTTATCTGAATCTTACATAATGCTACTTTAAATGGTAATGGATTTGATTGACAGATGACATTGTAACAGGTTGTTCTGGTGTCAATTTCTCCGGGTTTTATTATACTTACATACACCAACACTCAGGTTGAATTCGGCTACGTGAATAAGTACAATACTATCACCTGCACGATACAGATTATCAATACACCCTGAAATTAAAATATTATTCTTTAATATGTAATGAGACAAAAAATAAAAACTGGTCAAAAGGAACAACCCATAAATTCGGCTAGGTGGATAATTAAAGCTTATCTGTACAATACAGATTATTGATCAACACTGAAAAGAAAAGGGGTTTAACGTCTTATTTTTCTGCTCTATCCGGGCTTATATAGGCGGGCAACGTTATGTTTTAGATAATAAAAGTTGTTGACAGTTTTAATAAAACATACGCTCACAACAGCTAAGTCATCAGAATTGCTCTGGTCAGATTTATTAACCGCTAGAAGAATGCCCGGCTTCGCTCGGGGGTCATAACTACAAAACCGGAAGTGGTAGACTAAGGCTTCCTGGCCTATGTTACTCCCCGGTCCGAGCTACCCCTATACCCCAAATTTCAGACTCGGGGCAGACCTAGTGTAGCCGCCAACCCCGAACAGACAGACAAACGACAGTCACAAATATTAGTACACTAGCAGGATACCCGGCTTCGCTCGGGGATCATAGCTCCGAAACTGGAAGTGGTAGACTAACGCCACCTGGCCTATGTTACTCCCCGGTCCGAGCTACCCCTATACCCCAAATTTCAGACTCGGGGCAGACTTAGTGTAGCCGCCAACCCCGAACAGACCGGCTTCGCTCGGGGGTCATTACTCCGAAACCGGAAATGGTAGACTAACGCCACCTGGCCTATGTTACTCCCCGGTCCGAGCTACCCCTATACCTCAAATTTCAGACTCGGGACAGACCTAGTATAGCCGCCAACCCCGAACAGACAGACTTCGCTCGGGGGTCATAACTCCGAAACCGGAAGTGGTAGACTAACGCCACCTAGCCTATGTTACTCCCCGGTCCGTGCTACCCCTATACCCCAAATTTCGGACTCGGGGCAGACCTAGTGTAGCCGCCAACCCCGAACAGACCGGCTTCGCTCGGGGGTCATAACTCCGAAACCGGAAGTGGTAGACTAACGCCACCTGGCCTATGTTATTCCCCGGTCCTAGCTACCCCTATACCCCAAATTTCAGACTCGGGGCAGATGTAGCCGCCAATCCCGAACAGACAGACTTCGCTCGGGGGGTCATAACTCCGAAACCGGAAGTGGTAGACTAACGCCACCTGGCCTATGTTACTCCTCGGTCCGAGCTACCCCTATACCCCAAATTTCAGACACGGGGCAGACCTAGTGTAGCCGCCAACCCCGAACAGACCGGCTTCGATCGAGGGGTCATAACTACAAAACCGGAAGTGGTAGACTAAGGCTTCCTGGCCTATGTTACTCCCCGGTCCGAGCTACCCCTATACCCCAAATTTCAGACTCGGGGCAGACCTAGTGTAGCCGGCAACCCCGAACAGACAGACAGACAGACAGACAAACGACAGTCACAAATATATATATAGATAGATGATACCTCTTTGATGTGACTGTTACCACAACAACATAACAAGAGTGGGGGCCAATCCAAGTCCTTAAGCTCGGTCAAATTTATATTAAACTTTAACCCAGCTTTTCTATACATTATATAGCATATTAATTGACCTACAAATACCCTCCCTTCATCCCATGATAAGTTTGAATTTTACCCAACTCAATATTCTGGTTTTCAAATTTGTAACTCTCATGTTATACCCTAATTCTATGCAATCAAAACAAATACCGTATCTTATATCTGAGTTGTCAATATTCAGCCATCATCATTTTAATCAACAAATTAACATGGATTAGACTATTTTGATAGGGGTGAAAGGGTTATATTATATTATAGGTCAAAACTGTATAAAGTGTAGTTATTCTATGTAAATGATATCTTAAAACTATGTGTCACGACTGTCACATGTGTAGTCTAAGCCATAAAACACTCCACACAAAGCTAATCTTCTACTCTCTACAGGACATTTGGAGGTCAAACATATAAATAGAATATTTTTAGGGGCTTAATACTGAAAAGGGCTACTTGTATAGAATAGACTGATGCATAACTAAACATCACGAATATTCGCCATGCATATTTGTACTGGAGAGAGATTGGCATGTTTAAAGTTTAATAGCCGTAATTTGGATGGTGGGAAAAGACATTTTAACTGTTTTTGTTTGTCAACTTTATTTTAAATACTAAATTGGGAACTAGTAGGTAACACATTACGGGCGCTACACCTGACCAGTGAATAGGGATAGAAATATCCAGCGGTTGTTCTCGGCCCACGCCAGGGTGGGAACCTCACACAGCGTACCCAGAGTACTGAATTCGAACCTGGAACATTCTAAGTAAAATATTCTCGGCAAACGACAGGACTGAAACCCGGATCATTCTAGGCCAGCGTTCTTGATCCACGCCAGGACTGGAACCCGATTCATTCTAGACAAGTCCCCCCACCCTCCATACACACAAAGAGTTACATGCCTATTAATAAACTTTCTACAAAATACTCAACTGTTCAATATTGACCCTGGACAAATAAAATTGTTTGAACAAACGAGGGACCAATCAATGTACATTCAGCTATCTCAGGGCAGTGTTTCAGTCTGTGGATTGCGCTTAGAGCTAACTCTTCATGTGTTCAAAACTTTTTTTTAAATGCTCATTCATCAGCTCAATTTATATTTTACATAATAAATATTCTAGACGTTGACAATTGCTGAACTTTACTTGCTACCGGCAAGATATCAATCAAGCGGATGACAGTTTCAAACTCTACGTAAGCTAATCTTAAGAAGGATCTGTTTTTCAACAAAGTCACCTTCACATATGTAATTATAGATACATGTAACATGTACCACCCGTCCAGCCTTTCCTCACCTCAAACTTAATTTATTATGAATGTTGCATACAATACACCAAATATCCCTTAGTATCAAGTGCTCTAAGTTGAACGAATTTAAAGGATTCAAAGGTAGGCCTATATATCACAGGGGAGTAAAAACCTCATGAAATATTCATATGACGCTGCCCTGGCAAATTTATTCAGAACATCTCACAATGAACTGATAATGCCTGTGATCAGTAATATTCTACAACTAGTACAACCATAGCAAATAACCTCCACGGAGTGCCATTTACTGCTAATCAAAAGCAGCGGTGGTAGATTTTATTTTTATTACAGAAATACAGATTTTATGCTTTTTAAAACGTCGCCCCCTTGGCTCACACCAAAATCTCCCCTTGGGCTCCAGGACCCAGCCAACGATTGCTCGATACCGTTACCATGGTAGCCTACACTTCTTTTCCCTTCCGCTTTCGAAGAGGCCCAATCCACCCCCTAGACTGCACTAGTCATTTTGGTACGATTTGTAAGCTTCTAGCCCTAAACTTAAAATTCAATACCGTAGGATAATAATAACTAACTATACAAACAGTAACTTAGTAAGTGTATGGGACGGCCAAGTTGATATGCTGTCAATATAATCGATATTCTAATATGAACAACAATGAACAAAGACTGTTATAACATCTATTTCCTTTACGAAGTTATTCATATCTCCATGATTTCACAATAATAAAGGTCACCTTGTTTTATGTCCATGTGCGACTTTGGTGTTGACAAGTGCAAACTGAAAATTTAACCATTACCTCCATTGTATAACTTAGTGGGAACATGAAGATGTGTTCTTACTTCTGTAGTTTTGATTCCGTTATGTTGTAGAGAAACTTTGTTCGGACAGCCATTAATTAAATAGCCAACTGTTACTGCCTATAATAATAATAGGCTATAGCTGGCCTACCTAACAGTGTGTAAAAGGGCATGGGGTTTTCGTCTAATCCGTAAAGCTGTGGACCATTCTCTATAGAAAACTAGTTTGACCCAAGTAATAGATATGGGATTTTTTTTAGGATGAGCCCCAAGAATAATAGGGCTACGACTGTACATGTCTTATAAACTAGGTAGTATGTCGACCGCAGCAATGTAGTAGAATATACGAAGTACTCGGCGATATGGTCCGGGTGATGTCTATGCGGCTATTGTACATATATATATATATACTGCTATATATAATAAGTGTAATAATAACGGTACTCACAATTCAATGCATTTTTACTTTGCTCACTTCCATCAACTGCAACACCGATAACTCGTCCTGACATGATTAAAACTTCTGTATTAACAATATTCTTAACAAATAAATAACACCGGAAATAGTCAACGTTTCGTAGAGAAATAACTGTTAAAACCCACAAGCCCAGTCTATTATCAACTGTCAGTTCGCGTGCTGACTCTCACCGCTATTTATGCTAATGCAAAACGTAAGAGTGTCAAGGTCGTGTCGTCTCCTCTTTTTTAAATAGGTAGTCTCGATCATTCAGACAAATATTCTACGAATATCCCTCAGTATGTTGAAGTCTCGGAGGTTCTGGGTGACCGAGACTATAAATTAAGTCGGAAATTGTATTAAACTTCAGCAACAATAACGACTTTTTAGACGGACGTTCGTCTTTATACGAACCGTTCTCCATACAATATAGATTGTCTGTAAAGTGAGTGGTTCGATTTGAATTAAATAATTGTAAACAAAATGTAAGAGATTGTAGGTCATTGATTTGCAATGTATGGAAGCCAGTAGCCGTCTTAAAAAAACCCCAAAACTTTTAACTTTTAAATACTGTAGTTTTGTACCGGCTCTCATTGTGGAAACAGGACCCTCTTAGACAACTGTTTCGTTTTGTGTGGGAGTCCGTAGAGGGAGGAGGTTGTAGTCTAAAACTGTGGGAAATGTGATAACGTTGATATAAGGATGATCATCTTAAGATTAGCAACACTGTACATCACTAAAGAAGTGTATATAATGTCCATGGGCAACATTTTTGCTTTGTGAAGAGTTGGGAGAGGGGGAAGAGTTTAGGGAGTGGGGAATACCTAAAATTAGCGGTTAAGTTGATAATGTTGATACCACAGATGATCAGTAGTAAAACATTAATTTCTTGCGATAAATAAGCGTATAAAATGCCCGTATAAAATGGGCATCTTTTTCGCTTTGTGCGCAGGGTACACTGCCGGATATTTAATATTGGGTTGGAGGTGGAGGGGTCAAAAATAAATTTTTGCTGACCATAACAACGTGGTTTGAAATTGGTCTTGAGAAACACCCTATAAAACATTAATTTCTAGCACTGTGAATCTGTAACATAATATATAGGATGCCCCTTGGACAACTGAGATGCTTTGCATGGTGCCGTGGTGGCAGGGGGGGAGGGCGTGGGGGGGGGGGTGCTGGAAATATGATAATGTTGATATCAATGATGATCACCCTGTATATTTGTAAAACATTGCTTTCTAGCACTGTACATATCTAAAGAGGGGAGTTTACCCTTTGGACAACTGTACAGTCTTGTCGGTTAAGGACAATTCCTAATATGAATGGGAAATGTGATAATGATGAAATGCATGATGCCCATCTTATGATATCATAAAATGTATAGCACTGAACAATTTTAGATAAGTATAAGATGTCACTTGCATCGAAACTGCTTGTATCTTTCAGAATCCTTCCTTAAACATGATTGTATTGATATAATCTTTGAATGGCATAATATTATAACACAACACAGTTCTATGGATACAATCACTATGTTATATAACACACGACGTTTCGACAAGATTTCACTGGCCCTTATTAAGCATACAAATTTACAAATAAGGAAACATGCGAAAGCGTTATATAGAGGTAGAGGTACATTCAACAATAATAACAGAAACCAAAATCAACAATCATGAAACTCTAGCTTAATTACCAAGGGATTCATTTAAATTCTCGAATTGCCTTATTCTTTTGATTTCAAATAAGCCATCAAATTTTTCGTAATAAACAAATTATCGACTTACAATAAGGCAGAATTAAAGTTCCTTTTGTATGATTTCAAATTGCATAATTATACTTTAATATGATATGTTAAACTGTCGATCTTTGCCAAAATGACTCTCACTGGCAGGTCTTTCATGTCATGTGCGATAATTGGAAATGGTGTCAACGTGTACCTGGAAATTGTTTTAACAACTATAGATGCCAGCAGCAAGAGCAAGCGTCCAAAATAAAATGTTTGTCTCATGGGGAGCAACTATGCATTGTTTTTTAAACAAATAAATTACATACTTGTCTTCTTGTTACGATAACATTGCTCGATAATTCCAATTCAAAATAAGTTACGAAACTCGATAATTTAGAATCCCTTGATAAGACCCCCCCCCCCCCCCATGACTAGCTAACCGGATGTGCACACATTTAAATTCTCGAATTGCCTTATTCTTTTGATTTCAAATAAGCCATCAAATTTTTCGTAATAAACAAATTATCGACTTACAATAAGGCAGAATTGATGTTCCTTTTGTATGATTTCATTCGATAACAAATTGCATAATTATACTTTAATATGATATGTTAAACTGTCGATCTTTGCCAAAATGACTCTCACTGGCAGGTCTTTCATGTCATGTGCGATAATTGGAAATGGTGTCAACGTGTACCTGGAAATTGTTTTAACAACTATAGATGCCAGCAGCAAGAGCAAGCGTCCAAAATAAAATGTTTGTCTCATGGGGAGCAACTATGCATTGTTTTTTAAACAAATAAATTACATACTTGTCTTCTTGTTACGATAACATTGCTCGATAATTCCAATTCAAAATAAGTTACGAAACTCGATAATTTAGAATCCCTTGATAAGACCCCCCCCCCCCCCCATGACTAGCTAACCGGATGTGCACACTTTGCTTGACACGGCATATAAACAGGATGTGGGCGTAGCCTGCCTGTGTTTTTGTTACCCTTCGGCGATCGCCAATTTAGGGTGACCCACCATAAATAAATATCTCCATATATCTCGACAATTACGCCACAATATTTATATATATGCCAAGCCTCAAATCAGTTTCACACAATTATAGTCACTAAATAAACGATCATGTTGTACTTAATAAGCTATGACCTTGTTTTGAAATTAGTCTCGCTTAACCAGTCTATCGACCAGTCTACGTCTGATTGACAGGTCGGGATAATCAAGACTACTTTTTTACGAAACATAACAGAAAGCTAGAACAAGAAATTGAATTTAGAAATAAGCACGTTAGGTAGCTCAACAATCGTTTTAAGAAGCTTATAAAAGTAAAATGAAACTACTGCTAGTATCATGTTCCTGTCTAACCCGAGTGATTCAGAGATATTATTTGTACTAAACCAAAAGATGCCGCTCTTAACGGCACAGTTAATGATAAAGCGATTTAAAAAAATGAAACGAACGTAATTTCTAAATCTGCTGTAATAACCAAGAAGCTTAATTTTACTGCTATTCAAAATCGTCAACAATAAATTTTTTACGGCTGTAATAGTTGATAGATTTGTAGAGAATTGCACGTGCCATGGCTATTTATAGTATCATACTGTCAGAAAGTTGGTCTCGGCACGGCGAATGTGCAGGCTTCAGTGGTAGTCTCGAACCACTCTAAGGCCTGGACTAAGGGCCTTAAAATTATATAGTATACGAAACAACAAAAAACACAAATTAACGAATCACAGTAGAAACCACGGCCAACTAGGAAACTAGAGTTAATCACTCACAAACTTCATCCTTAGCTCTGCCGTCGTTCTCACTGCGATCCGGAGACAACATTAGTTCCTTACTTTATTCCCTATTCCGTTTCCTTATCATTACTATTCCTTAGTTATATCAAAACATTTTTTTTAAAACCTACTCCCTAAACTTTCTCTTTAACTTTAATTTTACTCAAATTTACTACAGGTCATATTAACCCGATAATATACATACCTAACTCATGAAATTATATTGTTTAATATACCTATCAATCAAAACTTATGAATGGCTATAATGTATTTCCTACAGTTAAATTTTAAATACTTAGTTTCTAAACATATTTTAACTTAAAATTAATATTATTTGGTCTTTAAACAAATTTAACACATTTAATTTTCCAAACAAAATGTATTTACCCAATTTTTCGAATATCTCCACCAGATTTTTTTTCCCACCAGACTTTTTCTGTTGCTGGATTGTACAGGTTTTCTTCTTAACGTCTTCAAATATGTATTCTTCTTCTAAAGTGACTTCTTACCCCAAAGGTTGATATTTCATTACGACACCAAATAGAATATGTAAGACTATGCAGTGCTATGCAGTCACTGGTTAGATGTGGAAAATATTACGAGAGAACTCCACACATCCAACGTGTGATGCATACTCTCTTTTCTTCTAATCTTCTTCCAAATTTTCTGCTTACCCTAAAGGTCGAAACTGTCACGGCAACCAAATAAAATATGTATTCTTCTTCCAGGTTACTCGATCTCGTAGTCACGTGCACCAGATAGAATATGTAGCACCATAGGTCTTTTGTCTGACGTGGAGAGCGTCTATGGAAAACCGTTCGCCACATCCTACGTACGACCCATGCATCTTTTCTTACTACATATTTCTGTAGCCTTGTGATCGTCTAGGATTTGTCTCTAGCTGTCTTTACTTCTGCTTCACGTTGTGTATTTACTTCTCACAGTTTCTTAAGACGTCTGTCTTACCAGGAATAATAATGCATAGTTCGCTTCTACATTTTATATAGCATATAACTGAATACAGGTATACAAGCATAGCACAAATTACAATACTATATAGCTAAAACCACTTCTCCACCCTATCCAGCCTCTCGGCTGTCTAGGAACTCAGATGTACCCTCGATCTCTGGAATCTAATGCAAGTCTGACTTACAGGGTTCCCCGGTTTCTTTTAAAGGTAAGTGAATATCATGCACAATAACGCGTGATCATGGCCCTGAACTTGTGTAATTAACAAAATGATTGGTTACTTTAAATCAAATGATGCAATTAGAATAATTCCACTCACGTGTAATTCGGTGGTAAATGAGTGACATATGTTTTCGATAAATCGCTCTTTTTTATGTGTCAACTATCAATTACAGACTAAGTTGATTTAAGTATTTTAAGTACATATCACATATTATGCGAATATGTTATTTCTCGAGCAAAAATTCTACTAAAAGTATTACATTCGTCCCTTTCTTTAAGACTTTTTGCTCGGTATTGGGTAAAAGATCCCTTGAATCCTTTACAATAACCATACCAACATCTGTAGAATTATATAACTATTCATAAATGTAGCAGAAATCTAGAAAATCAACATATATAATTATCACCTCCCCGCCTTCTAAGATTTATGCTAAATGAACAGGTAGGAGACTCTTAAAACGTCTATGTGCTAAACCCTATAATTATTCATGCAACAGGCAAATATCAATGATACTATACTATATAACAAAACTGAAAACACAAACACACATAATCAAAAATCAAAAATCAAAAGTTGCATGCAAAAGTTCTCCAAAAAGTTCATCTCTGTAAAATCCTATGAAAATTCACTAAGCCAAAACACAGAAAACACAAATTGTCTTTTTTAAATCTTCAAGTGTCCTAATTTCAAAACACTATAACACATCACGTAATGTTTATAAAGTTCAGGTTTCACTTCAAATTCTGTCTCAGGAAATCTCAATTTAGTAAACTGATAAACCATTTCTTCTTCTTGGATTTGTATTGGTCTGTTCCAGCTACCATAGTATCAAGTTGAAACTTTCTTTTTTTCTTCTAAGTATGATTGGTTTATACAATTTTATCCGTCAATCAAACATGTCATTGCCATCAGACCAAGAACTAACTATTACTATTTTTTTTAAAAACTTTATGTTGCTATTAGTCTAACATTATTATTAATATATTATTTCGAAAACGTATTAGCAAATCTTACTGTAATGAAAATTAAACTTTATTTAAGTATTAATAAACGTTGATGTGTCCCTTTAATTAGAAATTTTCAAACTAAGTTTGACCTCTTGACCTGAACTGAGTAATGGACAATTTTAGAATTACGTTTATGTTTTTTAATTTCCGTTTCTGTTTTAGAATTCCTACATTGTTATTTTATATTTCACCGTCAGTAATGTGACCTTTTTGACCTAATCATTATAATCCACCATTTTGTATGTTAGTCAAAAACCAATACATGAAACAAGCCCATGGTTACTTATTCCACATTAGTATCACCTAACACGTTATTTAGAATAGAACTGTCAATCAAATATTGCCAGTATATGAATGACATTCCATTTCATCCTACAGTTCCTATTCCATTATTAGTATTACATGTATATAAACATTATTTAGAATCATGTTCAAAGCAAGTGACGTGCACTTCACTCCCTCGGAACACCAGTCTATATTCTATAAACAAAACAATTAGAACATACCTAACTATATCCTATATATTAACGCATAACGTGACTTTTAAACACGTCAAATTTAACACAGTATGAATACTATTGTTTATAATAATTCGACCTCATGTCAAATTACACATTCTAATCCTTGCGTCCATGTCGACAGCTTAAAGCAATTAGCAGTATATATTAAACGTTAATATTACGTTTCTAAGCAAAAATTTAATTACATAAAATTATATACGGACAAAATTTACCGTATATCTCCACTTTTCTAAAAAAAAGTGTCGTATTCTTAACTTTAACCTCCTATAAAACTCGTATTAATGACTTTGCGATAATCTCACAATTTAACGTGCCAATAATTTTAGTTTTTCCCAGGAAAACTATAACCAACATCCCTAGATGAACCATATGGGATTTTCAACATAACCTAACTTTTTAATCAAAAGTTAAATTACAACAACTCTAAGGCCTGGACTAAGGGCCTTAAAATTATATAGTATACGAAACAACAAAAAACACAAATTAACGAATCACAGTAGAAACCACGGCCAACTAGGAAACTAGAGTTAATCACTCACAAACTTCATCCTTAGCTCTGCCGTCGTTCTCACTGCGATCCGGAGACAACATTAGTTCCTTACTTTATTCCCTATTCCGTTTCCTTATCATTACTATTCCTTAGTTATATCAAAACATTTTTTTTAAAACCTACTCCCTAAACTTTCTCTTTAACTTTAATTTTACTCAAATTTACTACAGGTCATATTAACCCGATAATATACATATCAATCAAAACTTATGAATGGCTATAATGTATTTCCTACAGTTAAATTTTAAATACTTAGTTTCTAAACAGATTTTAACTTAAAATTAATATTATTTGGTCTTTAAACAAATTTAACACATTTAATTTTCCAAACAAAATGTATTTACCCAATTTTTCGAATATCTCCACCAGATTTTTTTTCCCACCAGACTTTTTCTGTTGCTGGATTGTACAGGTTTTCTTCTTAACGTCTTCAAATATGTATTCTTCTTCTAAAGTGACTTCTTACCCCAAAGGTTGATATTTCATTACGACACCAAATAGAATATGTAAGACTATGCAGTGCTATGCAGTCACTGGTTAGATGTGGAAAATATTACGAGAGAACTCCCCACATCCAACGTGTGATGCATACTCTCTTTTCTTCTAATCTTCTTCCAAATTTTCTGCTTACCCTAAAGGTCGAAACTGTCACGGCAACCAAATAAAATATGTATTCTTCTTCCAGGTTACTCGATCTCGTAGTCACGTGCACCAGATAGAATATGTAGCACCATAGGTCTTTTGTCTGACGTGGAGAGCGTCTATGGAAAACCGTTCGCCACATCCTACGTACGACCCATGCATCTTTTCTTACTACATATTTCTGTAGCCTTGTGATCGTCTAGGATTTGTCTCTAGCAGTCTTCACTTCTGCTTCACGTTGTGTATTTACTTCTCACAGTTTCTTAAGACGTCTGTCTTACCAGGAATAATAATGCATAGTTCGCTTCTACATTTTATATAGCATATAACTGAATACAGGTATACAAGCATAGCACAAATTACAATACTATATAGCTAAAACCACTTCTCCACCCTATCCAGCCTCTCGGCTGTCTAGGAACTCAGATGTACCCTCGATCTCTGGAATCTAATGCAAGTCTGACTTACGGTTTCTTTTAAAGGTAAGTGAATATCATGCACAATAACGCGTGATCATGGCCCTGAACTTGTGTAATTAACAAAATGATTGGTTACTTTAAATCAAATGATGCAATTAGAATAATTCCACTCACGTGTAATTCGGTGGTAAATGAGTGACATATGTTTTCGATAAATCGCTCTTTTTTATGTGTCAACTATCAATTACAGACTAAGTTGATTTAAGTATGCGAATATGTTATTTCTCGAGCAAAAATTCTACTAAAAGTATTACAGGATGACACTTTTTTTCCCCCAGTAAATAGTTTAGGGTTGAGAAAATTTCGGATTTCTTGAGCATGATGACATTTCCTTGTTCAAATACTGTGATTTGGCATTTTTAACACATTTCATAAAACGTTTATGTACCACTAACCCTGATTTACGCCACTTCCTTTCAGCTGCCCGGCGTATTCGCTTAGCATCGTTTACAGAAGCATCATACCATGGTGTTTTCTTTAAATGGTTAATGGTTTTGGTTTGGATGGGTGCATGTTTGTCAAGGAGGTCAAGTAATGTTTTATCGAGTAAAGCTACCATGTAGTCAACATCATTAGAACATTGTGTGAATAGAGTGCTCCTCATGAGATCGATATTAAATTCTTCAATATTGATGGATTTGATGTTCCTATAGCGTATTTTCCTGCTGTTACGTGAAGTGTTTGAGAAATTGACATTAAAGGATATAACAAAATGATCAGACATTAGCTTGTCAACGACATCAGCATTATGAATAAGTTCATGATTACGGCTTGTTTATTCTAGGGTCAATTAAATTAACATTATTAGGCATCAAATCGAAAACTGGAGTTGTAGCTGTGAATAAGAATTATTGATACACTATTCGAGGTTTTGAGCAAGTAAAATAAGGTTCAATTGCAAAATGTTTAACACATATCATCACAGTTTGCACGGAAATTAGTAATTATGTTACAAATAGTGAAGAGTAGAACACTGAAATATTAATCATATCTTACCGAAGAGTTTTTCGGCGGCCATTTTAAAATGAACAGAAATTTCGCAAAGCAGTTGGGTTTAATCAAATCATATAATTATATGGTAAGGTTTCATCTTTATTTCAATGGGAATCGGTTTATTACGTCATGTTAAGCTATGTACAGTACAGTTTTGGGTCAGTGTAATTGGAAATTAAGGGAGTTATAGGCCAGTAACTTGTTTGTAGTCAAATGACTACGAAACTTGCTCAAAGCGTGCTCAAGACGGAAGCCATCAGTAGTGGAACCATTTCTAATTGCCTACAAGTGCAAAATGTAACTGAGGTTTGTCATGCCAAGCAAAAAATAAAGACGACACTATTCAGGTTTTCTGTGAAAAGTGTCTTGTTTTTGTTAGAATACAGAATATAATATATTGAATGGTTAGACAAGTAAGTCGGTGTAAATTGTAATCAAGTTGGGCACTTGGAGGTGTGGTGGTAGATAATTGGCTTCATCTCGACATCTTATCTGGATTACGTATCTCCTCTGATTGTTTGGTACACGGTGATATACTTTTATTTTATTGTACCTACTTCAATACTTACAACGATACTTATCTTAATCTACGACTTCTTTCTTATTGCCCACAAGTGCAAAATGATATTACTGAGGTGTGAGCCACCAAGCGAAAAATAACGATGACCATTAATCACTCAGTAGGGTGGTTAATTTCTGCAACAAAAGCCGGCGAGGGAGTTTCTTCCCGCAAGAGATTTTGCGGCTTTCTTTGATGTTTTATCTTGAAGGAGACAGCAAGAAAGTAATGGGCACATTCAGTATGCAAAATATAAATAACTGTAATGAATAAATTCTGTGTAAATTCTAATACAGCTATAGATTAATGGCGGTAAATGGCTACCACCACACAAAGAAAACAAAAAGCCCAAAACACTTTATTGAATAATAAGGTTTCATCTGTATTTATTGAGCTTCAGAGGACCATTTAGCAGCATTTTCTATGCTGAAATTGCATAAATTAATATCTTGCATAAGGATTAAGACTACTACTTTCTTCTCCCGCTCTCGATAGTTTATATAGCAATTATCTCCATTCAGTAATGACTTTTTGTGTGCCAAAATTGCATAAAATGATATCAAGGATTTCGTTACCCGTGTATGGATTATAGCAAGTAGGCCTAATTACTTCTCCCTGTCTTCGGGTGCATGGCATTTGATGTTGCCTATCTTGTATATCCTGTCTAAGCATTGAAGAAGGTTGTTTGAATTTACATTTTCTGTCCGGTTTTGGTGAATAGTCCTGATATTAAGGCTGAAGGGTCGGAAAGTAAATAGACATGAATTAGGGAAATTACATAGTGATAAAAAGATTGCTTTGACCAGCTTTGATGTGTGTGACACGGTTTGTGATTATAAAGATTAAGGTGGTCGGAATTTTTAAAAACATGGATTTAACATTGAAGTCAAAGGTAAAAGAATTACCAGCTTTTCCGAGGCAGACCACCATTAAATTAGACCATCTCGGTACCCACAAATTGTAGTTCGTCTGTCTCTTTTCTCCCCCTTTGCATGTCCATTTTGTTGATTTTTGGGGTCTTGAATGGACGAACAGGGTTTGAATTTTCTGCCAGGTGTTGGTAAATATTCATAATTTTGAGGCGGATAACAGTGTTATCAGGTTGGTTACGGTGATATCTACAGCGAATAGTTGCATGTTTTAAGCATGCTTCTTCAAGACTGTGTGTATCTCATAATTTTGGTGGTCAACCTCATACAAATTTTAGTGCAAAGACATGACAATTTGTTCCTCTGCTTCTAGTGAAAAGCATTCAGCGCAACGAAAATTTGGGGAAAAGTTGGAGGTGGGCAAAGAGGTCAGAATTAACATTGAAGCCAATGGGGAAATCAATGGTGGTCTGCCCCCATTCGTTTTCATAGTTGTCTCCCTTAATCACAACACTAAGAAAATGGGCGACATTTAGTTCAATTATGCGTATTCAATTTCTAGACGATTACCAAATAGATAAGAAGGGTGTTAAGCTTGTTCATTCAATGTTATAATTTCTCCAGCATAATAGGGTCATCTATTGCAACCTCGAAACTACTTTAAAAGTGTATTTCTAACCGAGGCGTGCTGGGGCCTCCGAAAGAGGATAGGTAGATAAAAGTTAGGGCACTTTAAGGGTGGGGGGGGAGATTTTGGGTTCTGTACCAAAGCTAAAATCGATCGATTTGACGTATCTGAGCCATGACATACCATACATTGATACTTGGTTGAGGGATTATGATTAAGTCCTAAAGATCTGAACATGAACATAGTTAGCAACAACCAAGAACTGAACGAAATGAGGGCACATTATCACACACATTCCTATTTCCTGGTAGGAAATCTCGTTGAATTCGAGCGTTATCAACCATTTCTGGTTTTGCATTTATGAGCACGTCACAGATTTCTACTAATGACCATTCGAAAAGGTTGAGGATGTTTCTCGGCCAACTTCGGGAAAGGGGCCCCGTACCCGATTTGTTATCATTCTGACTAAAAGCACAGAAAATTTTATTTGCTATATGGGGCTATATGCATCCTATGCAAAGGAAAGATAATCTTCCGATCAGCGACATTGCTTCCAAATGACATCCTTAGGCGAATATATAACTGGAAATTCATCTCATCTCGTGCCCCAGCGAGTAACATGCTAATCGCGAGTCTGGTGAACTATTCGTTGTGTTCTGTTAAATAAATGTGCCATATAAATATTCTGGTTACAAAGCTATTTAATTATAATAGACAGCAGAAATTGGCAACTGATGACTTGCAACATTCATTAATAAAGATAACAAAAGTTTCAACCAATATATTACAGTTATTCTATATAGTTGTTATTTAGTAGTACAGGTACAAAATTATCCAATAACTATTTTGTCTAGTATCCTATATATGACAGCAAAAACAGCCAATTAAAAGTAATAATAATAATTGTTCTGAGTGAAAGTACTTATATTTTCTCATTACAGCTGAGAATTAAGAGATTAATTGGTATTCTACGGTGAGTGCATGTGTGTAGGACAAAAGACACTTCAAATGTATCGATGTAATGTAGTTAACTAGGCACAACAGTGACTGGAACATTAGCATTGTGTAGAACAAAATCACTAACGCTACCTAATATAGTGCGTTTGAATGATCCTAATCCCCGTGTTCCCATTACCAACGACGAAATATTTTCCCTTTGTGCCACATCAATGATAGCTTCTCCTGGTTTGCCAGTTTCACGAACAACTTTACCTGGAATCTGAAAGAGAAACGATAAAAAAGGAATTCTGTAATGTAACGTGTTAAATTACTACATTTAATCCCCATTGGAGTCTTGTATCCTTGTTAAAATAAAGAAACTATGTTTTTTTAAAACTGCGTAGTCTGTCGGTTATAACTGTCGTAGGGCAAGTGTAGTCGAGTAACTTCTTTAAATTATCAATAAAGCAACTAACTGTAATAATAATAGTAGTGTGAAAACCAATCTGATTGAAATAAGATCTATATTTCGTTTCGTTTTTTTTGTACTTTCGATGGTCTAAACTACATGAAGATCAGGATCATACGCGCGGCTTTTGACCCGGTGACGTCAATCAGCGTTGATTTTTCTAGTGGGTTACCCACAGTTCCGTGCACCTCAAGCCAAAAACTCACCGTAACAGACCGTTTCATTGGCTAATCCCTCACATCATCAAGTCATTACGTTTCTAGTGTAAGGAAAGATTTGTAATATAAGAATCTTCAATGAAAAAAATAGAATTAAACAGTTAGAAGGTTTAATGGATCCATGTGATTTAAAGCGTCGACACATGGATCCAAAATTTTCACAGTCTACAACAGAATACAATACAGAACAGCTGTATTCATCCGCAAAAAAATAGTACCTAAAATTCATGTACATTATATAGGTTTAAACGTCAAATGAGGTCAAATGAATAGAGACGTCTTTAATATATACTAAATATTCGTATCATCCCAAATCGACAATAAAACAGTGAGAAAAGGGAAAATCTAAGTAATGGCAATCTAATTAACATAAAATTTACGACATAATCGATTCTTCAATGTTTTGATGGTGATCATGAAGAAAATACATCTGTTCTCAGGAATCCGATAAGATTCAAAAAAAAGATCACTAGAATTATAAATTGTTATTCCACAAAGTCGAAAGGTATGTTAGATTTTTCATTCAGTCAAGTTAGAGCGAGTTTATTGCCGTCCTTTGAGCTCCAAACCCGATAGAAATGAAGGCGGAAGTGGCCATAATAGTTTTAGAGATCACTACCTGATGGCGCTCCTGCGTCGCGACAAACGGGGCCGATTTGTCCAGAACGCGGGTTAGGTAACAACTCTCCCAGATCCTAGTGTAATAAAGACAAGTAAACGAAATTTTGAACTATAAAAAGCGAAACGAAATAGTTTCTGTGTTTTAATCAGATTGTGTAAAAACTAATAATAGTCAATGTCTTGGTCTTTTTACGGTAAATCAACTCCCGAACGGTAGGTCGCAGAACGCTGAATATAAACAGGATTCGTCCTCTAATGATTCCAATGTTTTACACCAAATTTGATAATAATATGTTAGAAACTGTTATCTGTATCGCTTTCACAATAACAAGGCTGTCGTCAAATTGGGGAAGGGGGCGGGGATAACAGAGGCGGGAACAAATCGCGGGACCTCGAGTCCGAGTCGAGTCTCAAGTAAATCGCTGACTGTATATTTTCACAAAGCCCGGGTCCCGTTCAAGTCGCCAGTTCATCAAATGAGTCAGCAATACATGGCGAATAAGGTAAGTTAGAGTTATGTCCCTCGCCCCGATTCGAGTCCTAAGCTCTTTTAAGTCGCGAGTCGTCACGCCTGCCAAGTCCATGTCGAGTCTCGAATCGCAATAAATATTTCAAGTCGAGTCGCAAGTCGGATCATTGACGCGGGACTTGAGTTGGGATAACCTCGGAACGGAAGGTTGTGGAATGCTGATTATCTATAGGGTTCATTTATGACGGAGGGACCAGCCGAGAACGATGAGCATCGATAGGTTTCATGCTCTCATTTCACGCCACGAGAGAGTCCACAAACTTTGTTTCTCAATTTGTATAAATGGCAGTGGCCAAAACCCCGAAAATCAAAACACATCCTATATCTTTTTTATCCTTATTATATATTTTAAGTTCTATTTAAATCGAGTTTGCTACTATTTTTACCACATTTTACGTGTAACCTTGAATCTGGCATTTCTGGATCTACCTCCACAGTTAGATAGACATATTGATTAGGTCTAGGATTGTGTGGTTGGCTGTGTTACGTGGATTGTTGGGCCTGCTAGCTACCACACGTTTGGTCATCGATTAATCAATATGGTCTCTATATGAATTACTGTTCATATATATCATAGATAGGATTGCCCCCATTCCATTCTAGTCAAATACAGTAGATGAATCATTGAACAATAGGATGCGACAGATTAGATTGAACCATCTCAAGTTAAATCTTCTCTTTTCCATTCTCAAAACATATCAGATAATAGTAAATAATAATAATTACTTGTTTGTTCTTTAATGTTTCTGTTAAAAGTCCAGTGAGTGTTGATACTTTCTCTTCTTGTTCTTTTACTTGTTTACTTATAGCATCTACGTCTGGCACTACAAATACGACAAAAATGATTAGTTACAAAAAGATAGGTTGTTCGGCAACGAAAGATTAGCCGATTAGTTCACAAAGACTGCTGCACTTGTTGTTGGTGTGTGTGTGTGGGGGGGGGGGGCACGGGGGTTTACTGAGTAAGACATTGGCTCGCTAACCTGGAGGTCCATAGTGTTCTATCCCTCTGTTGACCGAGAAAGTTCATTTGGATTTTTAGCGTGGCTACCCCTTGTCAGTGCGACAGGACGGGGGGTCTAGCCAGGGACAACGTATAGTCGTTCGGATAGTACGAAAACCCGTGACATGCACGTAAAAGTACCCATAACATTTGGAATGTGATATAAAAGTGGGTCGTGTAGTGCTGCTGTCCGGGCGGAATTTCTCTCATAGCACACTGCATGGTATATTCGTTGTTTGAGGGTTCACAAGGTTCTACAAACTGTAACAAGGGCTTTAACTCTGGAAGTAATTTACTAGGTTTTACTAGTTTAAATAATGCATATAAATTTCATACAGATTGGATGATAACTTTTGTCTTTCAAGCGTTCACAAAGTTTCTTCGTTTTATTAATTTATTGTCGTTCGAACGTTCACAGGGTCTAATAGAAATTCAATAGACTTCCCCGTTTCACTAATTTAAATTTCATACAGATGGGGTGATAACTTTTGTCGTTAGAGCATTCACAAGGTTCAAGAAAATGAAACAGGGGTCACAACTCTAGACGTAATTAACGGAAACTTCTGAAATTCAATAGGATTCTTCTTTTCACTAATTTAAATGACTATATAAATTGCATACACAAAGGATGATAACTTTTGTGAAACAAAGTAATTAATGGAAATTGCTGAAATTTAATAGGCTTCTTCGTTTCATTATTTTACATGATGTATATAAATAGGCTTTTCCATCTCACTAATGTAAACAACATACCTCAATTTCAAAACAATCAGATGGTAAATGTAGTCTGTAGAACAGGCGGACGGACGGGGACAACGGCTATATACGACCACATTTCCATATGGGCGTATAAAAACAATGTTTGAAAACTCTAATTCTTAATCAGTAGGCAAGCAAAATAACTTCTGTTCACTGTGCGAGATACAAACCACTGTACAATAAACTGAAATCTTCATGATCTTTATTTTGGATTTGTTAGCGCTTCAATGGCAACCTGCATTGTTTTTTCAACTATAAGTCATTTTACTCTGTGTTATGCTGCTGGGGCTTAGTTGCCATCTATTATTATATAGCTATAGTTTTTACTTAAGTGATAAAATATCCCATTTTATTATACACTAGAAGAATGCCCGGCTTCGCTCGGGGGGTCATAACCCCGAAACCGGAAGTGGTAGACTAACGCCACCTGGCCTATGTTACTCCCCTGTCCGAGCTACCCCTATACCCCAAATTTCAGACTCGGGGCAGACCTAGTGTAGCCGCCAACCCCGAACAGACAGACAAACGACAGTCACAAATATTAGTATAGCAGATAGATGTGTATATGAAACTGCTGCTGTGTGATGCTTAACATCTATCATTCTAGCAGGCGATACGTTTCAAGTCAGTAGCTTGAAGCGTATATATGGTATTAGTGTCAGTGGCCTGTGGCACGAAGTAACAGTATATTGTCGCATACATAATATATTATGTCAACGCTTGGGCGATATAATATATTATGTCAACGCTTGGAACTAGGATGGAGGTGACTAGGCATGAACTTGCAACGATAGATTTAATTGGCGCTTTGATAACCAATGAATGCTTGTTTTTTTCTTTTCTGTTTTTTCTCTCTTTTCTGTGTCCTAACCCTAACCCTAACCCTAATCCGAAAGAAAAGTGCCCTTTTTTGAAATTCTGACATCACAGGTGCCCTTTTTCTGATAAGGATGCCCTCTTTTATTTACAGGGACACTTTCTATGGCTCTGATGACGCGTACATTCCACTGAGTCTACAGGTCTAATATGCTAACACGCTTGGCGCGTCAACACAATATATTATGTCGCCCAAGCGTTGACATAATATATTATGTATGCGACAATATACTGTTACTTCGTGCCACAAGCCACTGACACTAATACCATATATACGCTTCAAGCTACTGACTTGAAACGTGCAGGGTGATTCTATATAGTAATGTGTCTTTAGCTTAAAAACTTGAATCCCGAATAACAAGTTGGATAAAGAATAACGAGGCGACATATCTCGTTTTTCGTTGTTTGCCACTTGAATAACAATCCAGCATGGCAATGTTGTATACCTGCAGTTTTACATATTTTCGGTTGAGATGAAAAACGAGGTAAAATGTTACTCGTTATTGGTGAATAAAAAATAACGAAAAACTATTCATCTTTATACTGTTAATATAATTAAACAATCTTCACATGGGCGTTATACTGTTGTAGGACATACTGTGTACAGTGTACCCTTGTCACATACTGTCAAACGGTAATGGACATGATTGACAAATGACATTGTAACGGGTTGTTCTCATGACAATATCGCCGGATTTTATTATGCTTAAATATATACTTACTTACGCCGACACTCAGGTTAAATTCGGCTACGTGAATAATTATAACACTATCACCGACACGATATAGATTATCAATACACCCTGAAATTAAAATATTATTCTTTGATAGGTAATATTAAAAACTGATCAAGAAGAATAACTCATGGATTCTGTTACCTGGATTATTACAGTATTATCACAAGTACGATACTGATTATCCATAAACCCTTAAAATCAAACGTTATGTTTTAGATAAAGTCCTTAACGATATTTCTGGTCAGATTTAAGCATGACAAATCTTTAGCGTGACTGTAGTCACAATACAACAAGAATCGGGGACAATCCAAGTCCTGCTGCCCTGTTAAAATTATATTAAATTTTAACCCTGTTTCTTATCATTCGCCAAACCAGGGTGTTGAATTTTTGTATGGCATGACAATAATTACCTATAATGCTGACCGACAAGTTTAAATTTCCCCACAAGCTCTACCTCCTTTTTAAGAATCTCTACTCTGGTTTTCAAATGTGTTATTTGTTTTTAGGGGCCACCACAATTTTATTTATTTAGGCATTACAGCTGATGCTATGGGACGATCCCGATCGATGACGGTCACGAACGGCCTCGTTGAATCACACAACAACCAATGATAACTGTTTGGACGGAGATACTCCTTCTGTTCACTATGTGAGATGAGAGTGCCTTACCTGTGTAATTTACACGGTTAAACAATCAAACCATTTAAGAAGAAACTACTGTTTAAACAAAGCAAGTCTTTAATTTATACATCCAATGTATACATAACAATTTATAAGAAAACTGTTTTATATTAAATTACTATAATTAGCTTTGACCAAATGCTAAATGAGTTGCTTTCCCCTATGATAGCCCGTTAATTTATCACATTTGTAAAAAAAAACCTGGGTAGAACCCATTATTCATTCATACTCTAAAATAAATCTAACATAACTCTGACTAAATTTGGCCCTTATTAGTAATATTATCTTGAAAAAAAAAAAACTCTTGTCCTTCCCCTTCTGACTCCGTAACTGGTCTGGCGACACCCTAAATACCTTATACAGACCCACAGATTCCAGTGTGGTTGGAATTCACACCGAAAAATGCTTAGAAACTTTGAAATCGTCGGAAACAGAGGAAAACCATGAATCATGCCAAATCATTTAAGCAATTACAATAGTTTTTGAAATCTAAATACAATTGGGAATTAAAACCTCTGGGAATTAATTAATTCATAACGTTCGCCATATCTAATAGTGGTTGCTGATAGCAAAGGTCGTGGCTACCGGAAGTATAGCGAGAGAGGTAAATAACTCATAAAATATTCATGACGCGGTCTTGGCAAATTCACAATGAACTGCTGGTGCCCGTGCATTAGTAACATTCTTCAACCATACAAAAACAATTTTTAACGGCGTACTCTTTATTGGTAATCACCAATATTTCATACAGCAGTGGTGGATTTCATTTCTATTACAAAAATACAGTTCTTATACTTTTTAAAGATGGCTTCCCGCGTACACACTGTGTGATTTATTTGGTGATATATTTAGACTGGAAACATATTCATTCAAATCCCCCTCGAACATTTTAATCTGAAGAAAATTAGCACATGCCGCAAGAACATATTTTAAGCCCCGTCGTTCAGATGGGACGAAAACCCGATGTCCCGTGTACACATTGACATGCACGTAAAAACCACATTGACAGTTGGAATCCGATATAAGAATAGGCCGCGAGTGCCGCTGTCCGGGCAAAATTTCGCTCATAGCACACTGTATGGCGTATGCCTGTTTTCATTAGCCCAGTCGGTGCAGAATAGTAGGACGTTAAACGCCATTTCATTTCTTTATTTTCCCATCCTTCTATTGGACTTATTCTTAAAACGCCGCACTCCTTGGCTCCCACTAAAACTCTCCTCCGGGACACAGTCAATGGGACCCGATCAGCCCCTAACTCTTCCAGTCAGTAAATTTGGTATGATTTGTAAAGATTCTAGCCCTAATCTATAAATAAAATACCGTAAATAACATCTACAAACAGTGAGTGTATAGCAGGTTGCTATGTTGTCAACATAAACGCTTTTCGGCTGTTAATGACTTTTGAATCCATTCATAAGCTGTCCTACTTGTTCATATCTCCATGATGTCACAATAATAAAGGTCACCTTGTTATATGTGTAACTTTGGTGTTGACAATATGCACAAGAAAGCAAAATAAAAATTGTTATCCAATTCGTACTTGTTTGTTTTGTATAAACGGGGACATGAATACATAACGTTATTTTTGTAATTTTGGTTCTACAATGTCGTGAAAAACCTTTTGTTCAAGCTGCGACCAAATATCAATTACAAGCCCATCAGATAGGGTCTAAGTAAAAGGACCTGCGGTTCTCACCTGAACCGTATATCTGTAACAAGTTCCGCATAATAAAACGAGTTTGAACAAGTCATAGATAGTGTTCTTTAGGATGAGCTCTTAAAAGAAAGTATGTCTTATTAACTAGCTAGTCTGTAGATCACAACAGTGTAGATTCTACTAGCCAAAATCGATCGTAGGAATACATTACACAGAAAATAAGTCTAGCGTTACTTACAATTAAACGCATTTTGACTTTCCTTGCTTCCATCAACTGCAACACCGATCACTCGTCCTGCCATGTTTAAACTTCTGTAATATTAATATTATTAACAAATCAATAACACCGCAGAGAAACAGCAGTTAAAACCTGTCCGTCTGCAGTCCGCGTGCTGACTCCAGTCGCTAGTCATATTAATGTGAAGTGTGCAGGCCAAGGTCGTTTAGACTTAGCTCTAACTCTACTTGTTTATCAGTGGCGACTCAATGGCTCCCACCTTCCCCCAACGAAAATGCCACTGAGGGCCCATTGATCGAGAAACTGAAACGATAAACGCTATTTGTCTAGATATCTGTTTTTGTAATGCTCATGTCGTTTGTTTTCTTTCTAGTATAAAAAAAATGTCAAACATACACAGATTTGTTTAATATGGAGTTGGTCCCCGCTTTATTTCTTCCGCCATCGGAATCTGATCGCTGTAATTCCTCTCTTGAGTAATAACAAGACTGACATATATTTAAGCTATAAGAGAGAGAGAGAGAGAGAGGGTTGGGGTTTAACGTCCACTCGAGACAAACTAGGTCATTTCGGGGACATGGTTTAATTTTATTTCAATAATCCGATTGCGCGTAGAAGTCTTTAGCAGTGGGAGAAACCGGAGGACCCGGAGAAATCCCACAAGGTTGGACAGGCGAACCTACTCCTTGTCACGTACAACCGGGGTATCGAAACCACGCCAGTTGACTCAATGACAGACCTTATGATACAACTAAGAAATGACAACCAATGACAGGTTCATTAGATTAATGACAAAGAGAATGTCTAGTGTCATTAGATAAATGACCTATAAAATCATAGAACATCGGTTGGGGAATGCCAGAGAAAATGACACTCATAGTAGGAATGACAAAAAAGTGACAGCGCTTCAAATGCATTTCGATGAGTCTCAATAGAGGAATGGCATACTCCTAATAGGAATGAAAAATATGACAGGGGCTCACTAGGTGTGCGACTAGGAGAATGATAGAAATAAAGACGGGTTTATTAGGTCAACGAGAATTCACTAGACTCGAATGGCAAAGAAATGAATGACAAAAGGAAAACCAGAGGTTCAGAAGGAAAATGACGAATAGAATGACAGTCGCACTAGATGAATGCCAAATATAATAACAGGGGTTCACTAGACGAAAGATAACGAGAATGCATAGGTTCATTAGACAATTGACAGATAATGACAGTGTCAGAATAGAAGGCTGACAAGAGTCCCACTAAAGGATTGACTGAGATTCTCTAAACGAATGACTGAACCATTCTCTGCCATTCTTCTAGTAACTTCTACGGCACTTAACCCTTCACGAAAATTCCCAAGGATTTTCCCTCGGGAACCTAGTCTCTATCATCCAGAAAAATAATTATACGAATATTAGTCTGGATGCGTTGTCAACATTTGAGAATAATAGGTCATTGGCTAAATTATCCGATCTTTTACATTTTATAAACAAAGTCTAAGGGAGGTAACTAGTCCTAAAACAAGATGTTGACGCCCGTAAAATTAATTTAAGAATGCCATTTCAAAAGATCTATATGTTTGCATGCCAGTTCAATATCCAACACCCTTTTTTGTTGTAAAATTTCTCTTTCGGGCCATATCTATGTTTTTTAAAATTATTCCTAATTCGTAGTCACGGTTCTTGTTTGTTTATATTAATGCAAGAATTACAGCATTTATTGCGGGAAGAGTCACAACTCTTATTTGACTTGGCTAGAAGATACTGGATATTCAACCACATTAAAGACCAATTTCCCGGTTACGCATGGGCAATGGATTTTTCGCCAATATTAACAAATATCCCAGACCCTACGTACCACACTGATCAGCAGTAAATATTCGCGAGGCCGCGATAATCACATCCCAAACTTAGGCTGCCTATCTACAGCTAGCTCCGGCTGAGAATAGGCCCTAAGCTAATTAACCGACATTTTAATTCCTACATCGACGATTTTAGTCGAAAACACTGAGTATGCTTTTAGAAATTTTTAAAAGTATTTATTTCTCTTCTATTGTCATATTGAATGAAATTAAATATGTTTATTTAGCCGCTGTGTGTATGAAAGATGTCAAACTAATCAAAGCCGAATCACAAAATAGTCCTCTAATTATTCAATATGGCGGTGCCCATGAAACATAATTTCACAGAGGCGGTTTTGTTTGCGAAAACAAATTTAGGAGTATCTAACCTTGTTTTGAAAGATAAACAGATTGAAACTCTAAAAACAGTTTACAATGGTAAAAAATTTATTGCAATATTACCCATAGCACATATTATATATCGCTTTTACGAGAGTGTCAGCGACATGGCGTGTTGACATAAAACACACGTGCGTGTGTTATTTTTACTCTGTTGTCTAAACAAATCGGTGTTTAGTCGATAAGTCCCGCCCCAAAATGGTCACGTGGGCGTTTTAAATGGCGGCTAATCGGGGCAGTGTCACATTCTGGGAAGTATGACGTAGATGGGTCGCTGCGTGCAGTATGCGATAATCACTGATAAGGATGACATCGATGCGACTGAATGAGCCACAAATATTAACTTTTTTCATCAGACAAATTAAATTCTAAAACATTTTTTTTATGTATTAGAAAAATAAATATAGACGTTTGACGTATTTGTAGGTAAAACTTATTTCCTATGTAAATGGGTATTAAAATTTAAAATGGGTAAAAGACTCCATTCCGCCCGAACCAGTAAAGTCTTATGTAAACAAGGCACGCGCCATTGAGCCAATGATTGACGCCGCGTGACGAGATGTCACGTGTTGAATGTAGTCATCTTTTACAGGGATATCAGAAAACTTTCGTAATTCTCTGTGAAACAGATTGCCCACGTACGTTGAAGACTGGGGGTTTCTGGGTGACCGGAGCTTTCGGGAACCTTCTTCTCCAAGGTCAAAATCTTGATCATGGCACCAAAGTCTTGTGTCACGGATTTTGACATTGATTACACTTACAGAGATCTGTTTCAGTGCGGTTTCCCCTTGCCAGTGGTACGGGAGGGATGGACTTCATGGAAAGGACAGGACGGAAAACAATAGTTTAAACAATATGATTCAACAAACTGAATCGGATTAAACAACAGGCAAGGGGCTGTATAAGTTTTCCCAAGATAGTATTTCTACTAGTATATCTGTAAACATTTACTTCAAATAGGATTTAAGGCTAAATTAATTCCACATATATTTGAAACAAAACATCTATTAATATGTAATTTTCACACTAAAAAATATATATGGCAAAAACTAAATAATACTGTAAGGGAGTGTCAGTTGTAATGAAGAGAAAAAAAATCAAATGGCGTTTAATAACTTACTGTTCAGTATCAACCGGTATAATGAAGATATGCATACGCCATGCATTATGCTATAATGGGAATTTGGCCGATACAGCGACGGTAAGGTCTACTCTATATTTCAAATTCGAACTGTCAAGAGGTCTTTTACGTGCACGCCAACGCGTAAACGGGACCTCAGTTTTATATCTCATCCGAATAACTAGCCGCTGCCCAATGACAGCCCCTCGTCCAGACCTGTACCACTGACAAGGGGAAACAGCGCTGGAAAATTCGGGGGAACTTTCCAGGCCAACATGGGGATCAAACCCCAGACCTCCTGATTAGTGAGAGCTAGCGTCATACTCACTGAGCCCTACGTCCTGCACCACTGACAAGTGGAAACCATGCCGGAACAGAATCAAACCCCGGATCTCCCGGTAAGTGAGCCAACCTCTTACTGAGTCACCGCGGCTCCCTTGCACTGATGACACTTGCATGGAAAGGGAAATACTAGCTGTACATGTATATTGCAAAATCCCCCACCCCCCAATTACAATGCATGGCGTATGCTCATCTTCATTGTACGGGACGGTGCAGAACAGTAAGACAATAAATCCTATTTGATTTATTTTCTCTTCATTACAATAGTCTCACTCCCTTACAGTATTATTTAGTTTTCGCCATATATCTATTTTAGTGGGAAAATTAAATATTTATAGATGGTTTGTTACAGTTTAAAGGAGCTAAATCTTTATTCGTTGGCAACTAGAAATGGACACAAATAGGTTGCAAAATGTTCATTTTGTCTTAAATATTAGATATTGATCAAAAAAATCGTGTGTTTACTGTATTGGACGTTACATCTACAATAAGCAACAACAACAACGTGTTTAAAATGTCGAAAACTGTAGGTGATTTAGCTTCAAATCCTATCTGAAAAAGGGTTTACAGATATTATAGTAGAAGAAATTGTTTGGGAAGAACTTATATAGGCCCATGTCTGTTGTTAAATCCTATTAATAAACAAAATGGGTTTCCAAAATATTCCCATGCCCTTTATGTTTTCACCATTTTTGTTTAAATCAAAATTGAACCAGTATCATACTATTTGCCAAGGATGAAACCATCGGGTGTTTTCGCCAATATTTAATTTTATGCCATAACTTCAGGCCGTAAATCGAGTTATTGCAAACATTTTTCTTGGAACTCTCGGATTTGTGTTCCTGATGTTGTAAGATTTCTAAAGCTTGTTTAGTTTGTTTAGCTACGAGAACCATGTAGGTTAATTTCACGCTAGAAATTCTGGCTGCAAGCCTAACAATGAACATTTTAGAATCAGTACACGACTCGTGTATTTTATGGTTTCGAGCGCCATTTGTAATGAATAAAGAAAAATGATATCCCACAAGACATTTCAAATGTAATTAAAAATGGCTGTTTCACAAAATAATAATAAAATACCACGTGTAGAAAGGACAAAGTTTGTGAAATTGACTGCCGTTCAATTGGTTTTGTTGACGTAATTCACCGAACCTTATCGATTAGATATTACATTAAAATTTTAAAATTGAATATAAATCACTTTATATATACTCTTTTTACATTAATATGTGTATAGAGCTATACGCCCATGTAGAAAAAAGTAGAAGAATTAAAAACGAAATGCTTATTCCAAAGACAACCTTTGTGTGGTCAATTAACATCAGATCAAAATAGGTGCGTTGTTATTGCTCACAAGAGAAAATAATGTTACCAAGGTTTGACATACCAACCGAAAAATAAAGATGGCCACGGTGATCTGTAAATGAAATTCATCTTGAAATTTTGATTTTATAAGCAAAAAATAAATACACAGCGACACTATTCAAGTCTTC